TGGTACATGAATGTAATGGAATATCAATTGTGTAAGAAAATGATGTGTGTGATGAATGCAGAGAAGCATGGAAAGATCTATATGAACTGATGCAAAGTAAAGTAACCAGTCAGTAAAACAATATATACAGTAACTACAACAATGTAAATGGAAACATCTACACACCAAAAAATCAGAAGTAGGTTCAACAAAATTATAAAGATCAAGCATGACTCAAATGAAGAAATATGAGAGGACACCCCAAATCTCCCCTTTGGGGATGTGAGAAGTTCACACGTGTTATACATTGCACATGTTTTCAGTCTTTTTCACTGTGCTGATTTTTGTTTTCCTCTCTAAAGGAAAATTGTTTGTTATATGAGACAGCTCTCTGTGAAGGGAAGGGGGGAGGGATGCTTGGGATAGCTGTGATGATGTAACAAACAGAAGACATCAATTAAAAAAAACCTTAAAAAACAACAGAACAGGGAACAGAACCTTTCTTGCTGTGCAGTAATATTAAAAACAGGAACCCTATGGCATAAGTTCTTGATTATGAAAGGAAAGTTGAGATATGTTCAGTCTAGTTTTAGTTTTGAGAATTTCATTGCATTTAAACTTTGAAAATTCCTACCCTGTTTAATATGTTATGTAGTATATTCAATATGGGGACATTTAATTAGCCAGAAAGTCTTATTAGCAACTGTGCTGAGTTCTTTCTTCTTATAACATCCCTAATCTTTACCTATCAAAGCTTTTTTTTTAAATCAACATTAACAACTCATTTGCCTTTTTACCCCCTTAGACTATAAGTTTCTTGAGAGCAGGGACTGGTTTTGCCTTTCTTTATATCCCTAGCACTTAGCACAGTATCTGGCACAGAGCAGGCATTTAATAACTGCTTGTTGATTTGACTTGATTAATGCTTTAATCTGAGAAAGGTCTTTATTTTTCTTACACATATTACACACACACAAAAAAAATGCAGAGCCACTCTGTACCTCTTTTCAAAGTCACAGCCAGAATGCTCTCCTGTGGAAGGTATCATTTGATCTGAGTCATGAAGGAAGCCAGAAATTCTTAGAAGTGGAAGTGAGAACAGAGAATTCCAGGCATGGAAGACAGTAAGTCTTACTGGACACAGAGACGGGAGATGGAATATTTGTGCATTGAATAGCAAATAGATCTGGATGGATGGATCATATAGGGGGGGAGTGTAAGAAAACTGAATAGATAGGAAGGAGCCAGGTTGTGAAGAGCTTTAAATGCCAAAGTAGTTTGTGTTTGATACAAAAGGTAATATGGAACCACTAGAGCTTCCTGAGTAGTGAGGTGACATGGCCAGATCTATACTTTAGGAAAATCACTTTGGTTAGCTTTATGGAGGATGGATTGGAGTGATAATACTTGAGTCTGGAAGACCAATTAGAAAGCTATTGTAATAGTCCAGGTAAGAGGTGATAAAAGCTTGAAATAGGGTCATGCTATAAGTGTGGAAAGAAATGGATGTGTATGAGAAATGGTATAAAGGTAGAAATGATAAAGACTTAGCCAGTGCTAAGATATGTAGGGCGAATGAGAGTGAGGATTCTGGGCAGGTGAGAGGAGGCAATGCCCTCAACAGAAGCAGAGAAGTTTGGAAGTAGGAAGTCTTGAGGGGAAAAGTAACACATCCCCTTTGAGAAACGTTGAATTTGAGTTTTCTATTGGACATCCATTTCAGAATGTCTAATAGTCAGGTGGCGATGCAGGATTGGATCTTTAATTATGGAAATCAACTGCATAGACATGATAATTGAACCTATGGAAACTAATGTGATTACCAAGTGAGAAGGTATAGAGAGAAAAGAGAAGAGGGTTCAGAACAAGATTGGGGGGGCAGCTAGGTGGCACAGTGGATAGAGCACTGGCCCTGGAGTTGGGAGGACCTGAGTTCCAATCTGGCCTCAGACACTTACTAGCTGTATGACCCTGAGCAAATCATTTAACGCCAACTGCCTTGCAAAACAAACAAACAAAACAAAACAAAAACAAAAAAACAGAACAAGACAGGGATACCTACTGTTAGTGGCCATTGGTGTGGCATAGATGAAGATCCAGCACAGGATTGTGAGAAGGAGCAGTCAGATAGGTATGAGGAGAACCAAGAGAGATCGGTGTCATGAAAATCCAGAAAAGAGATAGTATTTAGGAAGAAAGTATCAGCAGCGTCAAATGCTTCAGGAGGGTCAAGGAGATTTAGGATTATGAAAGGACTGTTAACTTTGTCAGTTAAGATATCAATGGTAAATTTGGAGAGAGCGGTCTCAGTTGAATGATGAGGTTGGAAGCTAGATTTGCTCCAGAAGAGGGTGAGAGGAGAGGACATGAAGCCATCGAGTATAAATGTTTTTGTTTTTGTTTTATAAAGGAGTTTAGCTCAGAAGGGAAGGAGAGATAGCAGATGATGACAAGCAGGGATAGGAGCATCAAGTGAGGGCATTTTCAAGAAAAAGAATATGTGTTTGTAGACTGAAGGGATGGAACAAGGAGATAGGGATATTTTGTAGTACTATCATGCCATTTGGTTATAACACTTGGATGGTATTCTTAGGAAATGATGCTAGTTCACTTTGGGTGAAGGATTTCAGTAATTCATTGCGAGCATTCTTAACACTAAGTTCTATTATCTATGTACCTGGTGTCACTCAGCTATAGGTTGAAATTCTGCTCAAAAGTCACTTATTTGAGGAAAGTGGAACTAGTTCTTTATGTGATTACTTCTTACTTCCAACAGAAATTGGTGTCATTACCACTGGGAAGCTGAAACATGGGGGAATAGGACAGATTCTTAATTGAAACTGCACATTCATGCCGTGCAATTCAACCCAATTGGCAATTAATCAAGTTACCGGGGAAGGGAGGCAATGGGACCATGAATAATCTTTGTGTTATAAAGTGCTTAAATCCGTGCAATTTATTTAATTCCTGAATTTGGGACATGCACAGAGAATTAGCTCATCAAACACAGTGGGAAATGCTCAGTTTTGCTAACCTTGAATACTGAAAAGGACAAGGTGGAAAAGTTGTCAGGTCCGTGGCCGTTTGAGGAAACCAAACAGAGGGAAATTTATACATAGTGCTTTTGTTTTTTAAAACAAGTCTCTGTGGGGCAGCTAGGTGGCACAGTGGATAAAGCATTGGCCCTGGATTCAGGAGGACCTGAGTTCAAATCCAGCCTGAGACACATAACAATCACTAACTGTGTGACCCTGGGCAAGTCACTTAACTCCAATTTCCTCACCAAAAAAGAAAAAAGAAAAAAAAAGAATGGTAAAACAAGCCTCTGTGTTCATCATATATAGAACTGATAGTACTTTTGTTTTTTAAAACAAGTCTCTGCATTCTTTCTAATCTGACATATCACAAGTCAAGAGTTACTAGTGGGATTGTATGGCACCAGGGAAAGAACACTGACTTGGAAGCCAGAGGGCTTGCGTTCAAATCCTGCCTCTGATTCCTACTGATATGACCTTGGAAAAGTTACTTCCACTCCCTGGGCTTCAGTTTCCTCATATTTAAATCCAGGAGCTAGACTAGGTGGCCTCTGGTTTGATTTCTGCCTTTTCCACTAAGCTGTGTGATATTAACCAAGTTACTCAAGTCTCAGTTCCCCTATCCCTTAAATGAAAGCAATGATTACTGTACTACAGATCTCACTGGAGAGAAGGACTGACATTAGGATCAAATGAGAATAATTTATGAGAAAGTATTTTGTCGCTGCAAAGGGTTAGACTTCAAGCTGCTGCTGTCAACTGCTTTATTCCTAACAAGCCTTCCATCTAGGAAGGGCATTTGATTTAGTCTCTTGGTGGGGAGGAATTCTATTTTATACCAATATCATTAATCTGGGATTGTTATTCAACTGCAGCAAAATTGTTGCTTGCTTACAAGTTTGCAATGCTAGAGTTTCTCTATCTTTGGTTTAAGGAAAGAAAGAGGAGAATGAACAGAAATAAACTCACAGAGAGAAGCAGATTCTCTCTCAGGGAAAGATACCCTTAGAAAGAATGGGGTGCTGCAGGAACATTCTCCTCAATGTACCAAATATGCTTAGAATGAGGCATTTCTAAAATAACCAAGGAGAGAAAAAGACGAATGGTTGGGGCTTTGGCAGTCTGTAGATTTTAAGGGGCAAGGGAACTATGGGTTATTCTGGAACAATCTTTCTAAAGAGCATTATGTTGATGCTACAACACCTCACCTTTTTTATTTTTCCAGATGGAATTGGAACTTCCTCAAAGGCTATTGAATGGTTGGTAATGAGTCTACCATGTGCAACTTGGTAATTGCCCTCAAAAGGAGAATGTGTGTGTGTGTGTGTGTGTGTGTGTGTGTGTGTGTGTGTGTGTGTGTGTATGTATGTAGGCTGGGGATTCAGAGGCCCTAGGTTCAAGTCCCTTCCTTTATGCCTACTACCTGCATTTCAGAAAAGTCATGGGCCTCAGTTTCTTTATTTGTAAAATGGAGTTGGACTAGATGGTTTCTGTGGTCCCTTACTGTTCTATGTCTGTGATGCTATAAATGCTATAAGCATCTCTCTGTCTCTCTCTCTGTCTCTCTGTCTCTCTCTGTCTGTCTTTCTCCCCTCCCCGCTCCCCCTCCACATCATTAAAATGCACCACCATGTTCTTATGGCTCTTATAAAGGACAGCTTTAGCTAATGGAACACAGAGCTTCTTGCTATAACATCAGAGATTAAAAACCTACACCCCCTCCCTCCCTCTACAATTTAATCTTCTATCCTCACCCAAATTAAGCTTTCATTAGGGCTTTTCATAGGGTAGCACCTCAAACATCTACTCTGAGCCAGGTTTATTCAGCAAGGGTTATCCTCTCAACCTTTTATTCTGAGGAGTATATTCTTTTATAACAATTAACTTTTTAAAATTCCATTCTCATAAGACTTATCTGATTCTTGAAAAAATACCATCTTCTCTAATGATGAGAGCCAATGATAATAAGAGGCATCAAGTTTGGGCTATTTTATGAAAATGTTTAATCCAACTGTTTCTTTGGAATGTAGTAGTCATAGCTTGGAATTTCAGTTACAGTTCAGTTCTAGGTGGATTTTATGCTACTCAGTGTCTGAGAATACAAACGTCATTTAAAGTTAAGGCTTCACTGTTCATTTTGAAACAACAATTTACAAGTGTCCTATTGTCATAGAAAATAAAAATTTCTGTAAAAAAAATTTGCACAAAATTTCATGATGGTACAAAACATGAAGCAATAATATACCAGTAAAATGAAATCATTTTACTACAGAAGTTTTTTTTATAGTTTTTCAATAAAGAAAAAAAATATGTTATTTTACACTTTTAAAAATTATGAAACAATCTAAAACAATATAAACTGAACATTCTGTAACACTGCCTTTACAAATTAATAACTTTATAAACATATAATTTTTAAATATATTTATCAGTGCAAGATACTTTTTAATTTAAAGTCGCAGTATCATTTTTCCTTGGTTGAAGGCAACTTTAAGTCCATCACCTTCTAAGAAATGAAGTCTTTAGTGCTTTAGTCCTGGTTCTGGACTGGATGCCATCGGGGACAAACACTTATTCTTCTTTTGTGGCCCTCCATACTTTACATGAAACAAACAGCATTTCCAATCCAATTAAATCCAGATGAATGGGCTTTCCACACTGCAAATGGGGTGCAAATGTGACTCCCAGTAGTTTATTGGAGAGACCAGTCATTATGCAGGAGAGGGGGGAAAGACCTATAGATCATTATATACAACATGACACAAGTAAACGGAAAACAATCAAAATTTCTTTGGGATAATTCACAGGCTGCCTTGATGCCAGGATGTCTCACTTGCTATGGTGTTAGGAGCCCTAAGTCCTGCCCCACAGAAGGCTTCTACTTTGTTCAGTGACTTGGAAAGAAGCCCAGAGGCATTCATTCACAGGAGCCACCAGTTCCCCCTGCTTCTGAGTGTGTTTTTGATATGGGTTTTCAAGTTCTCTACTTTCCTCATCTCAGAACATTTTCCTTTCCTGGCCCCAAGATTTAGAGTTTTTCTTTCAAATTAACTGCTAGCTTTTGTATTCCCCTCTCATCTTCCAACCAAACAGTTTCATTGGGGTTTAAAGGAACCTGATAACCTTACTTACTTAGTCAACCTGAGTCCCAAATAAGAAGGTTCCAATGGAACATTTAGCACTGAAATTTCATGGCTTTCATTCAGCCTTTCTTTGAGGTCTCTTTTGCAACCTAATTCAGTAAAAACCACATCCCACAAGCTCCCAATTTATCTTTCCCCACTGAACCCAAATACTTCAATTCATTTTGATTCTGATTTTGGGATTAAAAAGACCAAGTGAGTGAAAAGTTGAAGGAAAAAGGATACTGTCACTTTACAGAGTTAACAAGAAGCCCAAAGTTAGACTTTGGGGGGAGTAAAATTAGGAATTTTCCCTTATTTATTTATTTTTAAACATAAAGTCTAGTAAAATCCTCTGCCATTGTCAGCAAATTAAAGCTGCAGGTTTCTTTCCTCAACAATGGCAAACGCCTATCTTTTAATAAGAGAGAAAAGACGCAGAGTGATAGGAAATAGAGAGAAGAAGAAGAAGAGAAGAAAAAGTTTACCTCTGAAAATACATTCCATATGAAAGGACAATAAAAGAGGATATTGCAGCTTTCTACAAAAGGGTTAAGAGGCATGAAACTGAATTACAGAAAAAGTAGAACAATCAAAGCCAAGTTGCCCAAACTTCAGAGCCCTTGCCTTCCTGGGGGAGGGAGGGGTAACATTTCACACTAAAATATACTTTCTTCTCCGTCAGGACACCACCAGGGTTTGAGTAGAGATAAGGGCTTCTTTTCACCAGAGGGAAAGAGAGGGGTCAGTCAAGTGAACACAATAAGAACCAGTACAAACAAAAAGGCACTTTGGAGGACATAAATTAGCCAGTGCCAAGGACTGTTTGTTTCGGTTTCCGGTGGTACACTCGGGTCAGTTGCCAGTCATGGCTGATGATGGCACATTATTCTGTATGGAGTTCACAAGCACAAAGTCGAGTACAACACTGAAAACATCAAGGGAGATTGGACCGTATTGCTTCGTAAACAGAGCTGACACACTATACTGGTACTGAGGTGTCAGTACTCTCTCAAGAAGACAGCCTAACCCTTCTTTGCCTACGCACAACACGAGTAATTATACACAAGTACAGGCGCAAGAGTCCACTAAATCGCGGTTAATCCAATCTTTTCTGGGCACTGAGTTACAGGCAGCAAAGGGACCCCACTGAATACACTTGGTGACAGCATCTTGGATTTTGCACAGTTTAGAATAAAATCCATCAAAGGAAAAGGAGAAAAGAGAGAGGGGGATGGGGGAAAGAACAAAAGGAATCATTAAGTCGATCCTACTTGGTCTCAACACCAGCATCTGATTATTTAAATCAAACCAACAGAAAAAGCTGACCATCCATGGTACAGATCGTTAATACAGATGATTGTTCAGGTTTGTCTGTCAGCTATACTCATCAAACCTCCTGAGAAAAGCTTGGCTCAGCGTCATCAACGCATGTTTCAGCCTGTACAGTAAAGGAAGATCAACTGTTCCCCAGCACGCTCAAGTTACATCCTTCCACTTAAATTCCTCGATGTGTCTTTTCATCTCGGCCTTCATGCCTCCGAGTAAGTGTTTTGTGTGTTCAGTTTGTCTTTTTTCAACTTTACGCCATCCACAAGTTCAAAGTTGTAATTCTCCAGGGCAGATAAATTTCTTTCAGACATCCCATTGTGCCAACAGGCACAGTACAGGACAACCCCACATATGGCTCCCAAAAGGACACCGAGGGCACTCATGGCGATGATAGTAATGAGAATGGGGTCCAATGTCTTCAGCACATTGCCGGGCTTCCTAGAGATGTTCTCATCACCTTCTCCTATTCCATTGTATCCTGGTGTGCTTCCTAAGAGGGAGGGGAAGAAGATAGAAGTAATTGCCTTTGTGAGCAGTCATAATGCCAGATGAAAGTAAATCGGAAAAAAATGAAAAAGATGCAGGGTCTGCCCTAATAGTGTCTTGGGTGAATTTGTAAAAGCTGAGGTCTGTTCCCCAGATGGCTGGGCATGACTAAGGGGAGCTCAGTATCTTGTGCCTGGGGGAGGTCAGATGGATGTTGACTTTGGGACCAATTGTTTAGCATTTCTGGCCAGGAAGGACTATATTTTATTCTAATTCAGATTTCCCATGGAATTTAGGATTTAAAGTACCTCCATCTATACATCATAGCTAATAATAATAGCTGACATTTATATAACACCTATGACGTGCCAGGTTCTATGCTAAGCACTTTACAAGTGTTATCTCATTTGATCCTCACAACAACCCTAGGAGGTAGGAGCTATTCTTATCTCTACTTTTCAGGTGAGGAAACCGAGGCAGACTTGCCCAGAGTCATACGGCTAGTCAGTGTCTGAGGCCAGATTTGAACTCGAGTCTTCTTGTCTCTAAGCCCAGTGCTCCATCCATTGTTCTACCTAGCTGGCCAATAGCTACATGTAGTAAGTGTTAGTTCAAAGCTTTGGTCATTATGCTTTTTGAAATGCTCAGTCACACACTAAATCAAAACACATAGTGCAGGGATTGAAACATTCCTTGTTCATTTGACTAACTCCAAAACCAGACACGAGGAAATGTTCAGTGCCATCCTTTTATGTGGTGAAGGCTCCACTCTCACTGTGTGTTTTACGCATGTGTTTGTCCTGCCCGAGTGCAAAATTTTCACTCCACACAACAGTATTTTTCCAAGCCTACTGTGGTTTCATTCAAGGCAGAATCAAGCCTTCAAGATATGTTCATTCTGAGCTGAAAGCAAAGAGAAATTTGGCAAAGCTCAGCAAAGCTGGAATGCTTTTTAGGGAGGCACAAAGCACGGCCAAGATATGCTGGCTAGAAGTCCCTTCATACTCAGTGGCCTCACGGTCCTGGTGGTTTCACTGGAGAAAGTAGCAGAGCTCTGCAAATCGTCACTGGGGAAATCTTTGCCTGGTGACTAATTACCTTGTACTAGAAAGGAGACTAAAAATGTTAATGTGAACATGTTTGATGTTTACTTAATGGTGTTCAAAACAACAATGATTCTACTCAAAGAAAACTAAAAATAAATGCAGTGGGTCCCTAAACAGGGCAGGGGGAATACAAACCAAGGGACATATTAATACTCTCTCCCTTGATGAAATACTGTTTTGAAACAATGTCTAATAAGGTATACATGAGAGTGTGAAGACTCTGTACCTAAGAACCATGATGAATATATTAATATGTGTGATAGCCCAATGACTATATACCAGCTGTACTTCTGGATACAGCAAGAGTACATGCATGTCTATGCTAGGCTCTGGTATTTACTTGAATACGTAGAAAACATGCCAACTCTGGGAATGATGGGGGATTACTGTTGGAACACTCGAGGCAATGATGGCACACTAGGCCTTTCCAAAGTGGTAGTACAGGTCAACCTTGGTGGTTTCATTGGTCTTGGTTTCAGGTATGTAGCTCTTAAAGTAACCCAATACCTTCTGGGAGGCAGCACAACAGGAAGGGAAGATATCTACTCTAGAGTCAGAGGTCTTGAGGTTGACTTTTAGTCTTGCTACTTATTTACTTGGGTGACCTTGGACCCTTTTATGGGCCTCAGTCTTCTTACCTCTTAAAAGAAGGGGTAAGACTGATCTTTGAAGCTCCTTTTAAATTCTAGATTCTACAAAGGGCTAAGTTTGGTGATCTTTGGCAATTCCTAAACCAATTGAAGGTAGAAACTTTGCAGTTGAGGACTAATTAAAAAGAAAACTCTCAAATTATCATGAAAACAGGGGCTGTTGTGGATTAGGAAGGAAATGGAAGGAAGGAGGTCAAACCCAATAACACAATGGACTGTGTAGGATGAACAGTTTGTTAACATTTTGGGTAATTTGCGTCTGGTGAATAACTAGCAGTAAAAGTTTGAATTGGCCTCTTTTAGATGTCAGGGCATGATGTTTTCTCCAGGATAACTAGGGCATGGCTTAGACCAAAGAGAGCCACAAAAGGTTCCATTGGGCTGAAATTCTTGTGCGAAATGAAATAGGAGCTAATTGAAAACATTAAAGGGACTCTTAGCTTGGTGTCTTACAACAATCCAAACCAGGGTCTGAGGATTTATATTAACACAATCACTCCAATGACAGATTTTAAGGACAAATACATTGAGTATCACGTCAGACTGATAAACAAGACAATTTTACCTGTTTCAGGATTTGAGTTTTCTTTGTCCTTATTATCCACATCCGTTGATTCTAACGAATAAAAAAAGAAAAAGGATAACGATAATTAAAGATACAAACACATAACACACAAGAGGAACACGCAATTTCTAGGTCCCCTTTGAGATGCCAGGAGGCTCTAGCCCTTTGAAATGATTAGAAATCAATAGGAGGGTGACAATAAAACACATACAAACTTGCTAATCAGCCAGAATTGGAATACTTTGGCTTAAGTTTCAGTCCCCACCCTCAAGCAGACCCTTTGGTAATAGGTGATGTTTTTAGGCGATGGGAGGAAGAAGCGGCAGTTTGAATAAGTTCAACAGGCAGCCAGGATACAAGCCTAGCTTTGGAGTCAGGAAGACCTGCCTCTGACCCATACTGAACGTATGACCCTAGGCAAGGCACTAAGCCTCTCTCAGTGCCCTCAAACAACTCTGACACCATAAGCTAGGTACCACTGGGGGAAGAGGGCAGTTTCCTCACGAGGAGTTGCCTACATTAAAAAAAAATCATAAGTAGCCAATGACAGCAGGATGACCTATGGAGAGCCTGTGGGAAAGGCATTAGCCAAATAGCCAGTGTTCTGTATTCCAAGGGCATTTAGCCCGTTAAATCATGCCAAATCTTAATTTTGCTTTCTTCATAGACCCCTGGCCTGAATTTGGTTACAAAGACCATGGTGCAATATTCCCTGCCTCCTACACGGAGCATACCTTTGGGAGATTGATGCAGCTAGAAACTTGGATCCCTAAAACAAAAATTTCAGAAAGGAAGCCCTTCCCCTTTGGAAACCACAACTTGAACAGGTGTCCTTCTCCTGGTCCCTCAGCCCCCAGCTGACCACTCCCTTCTCTGAAATCCTAATGTGCTCAGCATAAACCACACATCTTAGCTATGAGTTATTATTTTTTGTTTGTTTATTTCACAAATGCTGATTTTTTTTTCTCTTCCAGATAGTCCATAAGCTCACTGGGAGTTAAAGTGCAATGGTCTAGCACAGAGCAAGACACATCAGGAAAACAACACATGCTTTGTGATTGACTGATGGAACGGCTATATGGTATTTTCATTGGAGACTGAAACAAATGAGGCAGCTAGAAAGAGGATGTCTCCCTAGGACTGATTCACCAAGGTGGCGTTTGCATTTTCTACCTGAAAATTTGAGCAATAAATGTTCAACAAGCTGAGTAACTGATCATTACAAGGGGACACTTCCCAGAGATTCAGGAGGGTTATCTCAAGTGAATATCGTATACAAATACAAATGAGCCGATAGACATCTTATCTCCATAACCCTCTATAGATATTGCTTGAGAAGCCCCACAGGATCTGCTGTTAGGGAGCCCCATTTATTCTCTCATAGCCCTATGTGGTGCCCAAGTCATGCTAGCCTTATGAGTAATTATCAGTGACCAGCACCAAAATATTAAGCATTACTCTTCCCTGCCACAACCTGATAAATACAATTTATACCAGTTCACTGGGATATCAGATGGAATATCTCCTCCCATAGATCAAAGAAATAAGCATTTTTTCACTATATTTTTTCCAGTTGCCACTATTGACCCAGTCATATTTCTACTAGCATTTCAGGGTCTGTATGCATTAAACATACTGGTAGGAAATGATTTGAAAAGCAATGGAGTTTCAAAAAAAAAAAACCCCAACATACATTACAGAGAACAGGTTTTAAACTGATGTCACAGATTGATCCTCTTTAGTTTTAATTAATGCAAGGAATTTATATGATGATACATAACATTAAAGTCAGAGTGAAATAAATGAGGCATAAGATAAACAAGTATGCTATGAAGATAAACAAGTATGCTATTACAATGACATTAAAAATGCTTTTCAAAAAAAGTATAAAAAATTAAGAATTATTGTCTATATTTCTCCCCCCCCCAATATCAGATGTGTTTCAAAATGGCACTACCACCACAGCCAACTCTGGGCATAAGACATAATTCTCTTCATTTTATTAAAATTAATTTCAGTTATTTGGGGGTATAGAAACCTTTTTGCTAACTCATTATAATACATGATGTTTGCAGGGTTCATAATTTACTGACTTGACCTTAGTTATACATCATGAAACCAGATTTTTTTTTCCAAGTTGACCATGTGCATTTACGCTGTAAAGTACTTGGAACTACACAGTTGTTTAAATGTTTCAGTTACCCTGCAGGTATTTTGGTCTGCTACAGATGCTGCCCTTAATAACAGTTTTGGACCTTTCCCAGAGAAGCAATGTGATGTGGTGGATAAAGAGCCAGCCTTGGAAATAGAAAGACCTTGGTTCATGTCTCACCTCTAATACCAACTGCCTATGGGATCCTGAGCAAAGTAACATCTCAGTTCCTGGAGCAACTCTGTAAGACTAAAGGTACAGGGAAAAGTGTTGACTTGTAATGGCGCAGGAAGTCTCCTCACCTGGGAGTTCCTTATACCAATTAAATCACAAGTCTGGTCTCTATGACTGGTCTTTATAGACATTGGCTATTAGATATGGCCCTCCATATACTCTGTTCCTTATCGGTGCATCTAGAGCAGACATCTGGTGAACTAACATCACTCAATGTGTGTTATCACACCAAGGAACCTAACTGGGACGCCAACCAGGAGCTGTCGCATTCAATAGCTGCCCTCCCATTCTGAAGGTGTATATCGGCAGCAGTGAAAAAGATGGGAGAAATAAAATCAACCAATCAGTCAACAAGAATTTGTTAAATGCCAACTCTGTGTGAGGCACTGTGTTAGTCACTCACAAAAAGTGAGGCAGAAGAATTCCTGGATTGGTAGTTGTGAAGGTGGCCCATTCAATTACTATTAGAAAGCTCTTTATTGTGGAAGGCTTAAGAGATCATGAGCCGGCTGAGACTTCTTTGTGGTGAAACAGTATGGCTGTGAGAGTCTGTTAATTTAGCTACCTTTTCTTGTGTGTCTCTGTGTTCATGTGTGTCATATATATCCGTGAACATGTCTTATCATCTGGGCTGGGCTATGAATTGTCTCAGGTCTTTGGCATATAGACCACTGAAAAGTTATGGTAGTGATAAGTGTTTGTTATGAGGGTCAACAATAAGCAGTGACCTTAAAAACACATTTTAGATCTCTCTCTCTCTCTCTCTTTTCTCTGGTGTTCCTGTATCAGTGGTTACAGGATACTGGTAATACGAAATGATTTGATTTTAAACATGGTTTCAACTGGCATACCTATCTCACTAGCACCTACCTAATACTGAATATCTATTTCCATATGAGTGAGATAAAGACAAGAGCAGTGTTGAGAACATTGTACTATGCCACATCTTCACTGGTCCCACTCTATGGTACCTCATACTTACTTTTACAATCCTCCTGTGAAATGTGGTTATTAATACTAATGTCGTCAACTGCAATCCCTCCAAGGTTTCCTTTTCCGATTTCACCCTCAACAATCACCTAGCAAAGTGAGAAAATTTTCACACTGTTTAACTGATAGTGCCAAGCTGCAGTGCCCACGAATGCTTGCTCAGCTCTAGCGACAGCACCCAAATTAAATTCACAAGCTTTCACACAAGCACATGTTGTGCTTGTCAATCGGTATTAGCTGGTTGGTATGGTACCATAGAGCATCACTTCACACATTCTTTTAAAAATAGAAACTTTAAAACTAGGGAAAAAAAATAGCAGATGAATGGGATGAAACATTGTGACTGCCCAGAAATAGTTTATAAGGCAGCATTTTCTGTTCCTTCTCAGGTAATTGCTTCAACTTGTGTAATTTGGGAGATCATGAAATATGCCGCCATTACAACTTTCACAGCAGCAATATCCTGGACTCAGAAGGACCACCACCACCACCACCATCTTCCAGAATTTCTGGAATGTTTTCTGCTCTCTATCCTCTCTTTCTTTTGCATAACCCCCAGGAGGTTACATTTTCAAAAGAGGTCATAGGTCTGATCTCTCTGCTTCTGTTTCTAAAGCCTTTCAACACTCTCTAACTGTTCATCTGAATCAACTGCCCTCCAACCCAGGCAGGCCAACATACCTGATAATGTTTCAGAGACTTGTGAAGTAGAACACGTCCTTCCTTCCAGTGGTTTCCTTGATGTCCAATGGCAGTCCAGAGCGTTTGATCATATTCATCCGGCTTCTGGTAGCGCAGTTTGACCCTCAAGGTGCCAACATGGGAACCTGACATGTGGTACCAGAAGGTCATGCAGTGGGCAGAGTTCTGGGAATAAACGATGGGGCTCAGCAGCCGGGCCACTTTGCCCTTCTGATTTTCATCAGCTTGGGAATAGATGAAGTTGCCATCTCCTGCTGTGACAATAAGACTGTGTTAGGAAGAGTGGTCTCATTCACCGTTTTTCTGCTTTCTTTCCTTAGAAATGCCTACCCCCTCCAAGCCTATTTTTCCCCAGGCTGAGCTGCCTGGACCCAGTGTTAGAAACGGAACCCTTCACAGGGAAACTCTAAAAAGCCTTGCTTGGTAGCCGAGGCCCTTCTGTGTGCATGTTTGCAACAACAGCCTGATTAGGAGAAAAGCCTGGTGGTAATTCTTTATTCTGTAAAGCCTCATTAATTCATATCCTGTTCATTTGGATCCGTGATTGTTTTGTCCTGGCTTGGGGATGAAGTCTGGCTTCTTGGAGAAAACAAACTGTTTACAGTACCTTTAATACCACTCCAGCAATGCTCATTTGCATACAAACACTGACTGCACTAATTAAAAGTGATTCTTGACTGTTCCTTAAAACATACCCAGGACTTCTATCTGATCAACATTTGTTGTAAATGTTTGAGTGGTCTTGTAAATGTTTCTTGTGTTGGATTGAATTTATGCAGAGTCTGTGTGTAAACGACACTGTCCTGGGGACCGGCCAAACTTGAACAGCAGCCGAGACATGTGTATTAAGGCATCCTGCTTCATCACGGTCAGTGATGATGATGATGATGACAGCTGCAAAGTACTTTACATATAAAGGCCACACATGTACACATGTACATATATGTATACACAGAACACATACATGCATACATGTGTATATATTCACACATATACATACATTATATCTCTATTATCTATATCTCTATTTATACCCATCTTTATATCTATGTTCCTGTTTGGTCCTTACAATGGTACTGTGAAGCAAGCTCTATTATTATCTCCATTTTAAAGATGAAAGAGGTTAAGTGACTTTCCCAGGGTCACCCACCTAGGTGTGGGATTTAAACTGAAATCTTCCTGACGCCTGCTCCATTGCACTATCCGTCGTGTCCCTAGCTGCCATCAGGACTGACAAGGACATGAGCACGTACACAACGTACAAGTATGCAACGGATACGTAAGTCTTTTTGTTTGTTTCTGGTAGAGATGTTAGTTGAACTGAATTAACACTTTGTTTTGTTGCTGCTTAATCGTTTTTCAGTCGTGTTTAACTCTTTGTGACCCCTTTTGGGGTTTTCTTGGCAAAGAGACTGGAGCAATTTGCCATTTCCTTCTCTGGCTCATTTTACAGGTGAGGAGACTGAGGTAAACAGGGTTAAGTGACTTACACAGGGCCACGATTTGTTAGCTGCAGATTTATAGTATGTGCATATTTTAAAGTGCTACAATTGCAGTTTTATAAAAAAAAGATCATTCATCTCTTTTCTCTCATTTGACCTGGGTTTCTCCTCAGTTAGTGTGAGACGGTTAGGTTTCTCTTGCATTTGGTGGATGATGGGGGGGTGGGGCGGGGCGTGAGGAGCAGCATCTGGGTGGTGCAATGGATAGAGAACTGGGCCTGGAGTCAGAAAGACTTGAGTTTGAATCCAGCTTCAGATACTTACAAACTGTGTGACCTTAGACAAGTCACTTAACTTCTGTTTGCCTCAGTTTCCTTAACTGTAAATGGGGAAATGAGATAGTATTTGGAAAGCACTTAGTACAATGTCTGGCACGTAGCAGGCACTATACAGATGTTAGCTATTTCTATTATTATTATCAGTAGTGGTGGTGGTGGTGGTGGTGCCCTCGCAGATAATATATATAGTTCTGCACTGTGAGAATTCCTCTTCCTTAGGTCAAGGCACTATATTTGAATCCATATAAAGTCACATTTTTGAAGCCCTGTGGAATGGGTTGGTTTTGGCAGTGGAGATACTCTCTGAGCTGCAATTACTTACTATTGGTTTTGCTTTTAATTGTCCCCACTGGGAAAATTTCCCTCTGTCACCACCTGGTCTAAACACGTAACTTACACTTCATTGTTTGCCCTTCAAACAGAAGTCACTCAAACTAATGCTTAAATGCTTCCAGGGGCTAGATTTCACTGGTGTGGATACTCCCTCCAAGGACTCAGTCTGTGACTTAGAAGAATCACCAGGGGTGAAAAATTTATCAATCTATAACCCAGCTGGTAATGAATCTTTCTGAATTCAACTAGTCTGGTCTTTAGACCATGGCTATATAGTTGGTCACTAGGCTGTGCCTCAAGCTTTTTTCATCTTGGTAGTACCTGCTGGAGCTGGTATTTTGCTGTTCAATTACCTGAAGGAACCCATGGCCATCTCTATGTCACACTGGGGCATTGGAGTAGGACTAAGGCTAAAGTACAGACAATGGAATTATGAATCTTATTCTCTGCCTTCAATGCACATTCAATGTATTTCAATATATACTGTAGAAAGAGCATTGATTCGGAAATCAGAGGGCCTCGGTTCAAATCCCACTACTGAGACTTATTACCTGTTTACCTTGGGCAGGGTCATTAATCTCCCTATACTTCATGCATCAGTTTCCTTATTTGTAAAATGAAGGGGTTCAAGTGGTTAGCCTTTGGGGCCCCTAATTCTAGCTTTTGATCTATGACCCTAAGCCAAATTTGTATATTTTATTGTATAAATGTTTGGTATCCATATATGTGTCTGCCCTTTTCAGTATTATCCAGAGTAGAGCATAATGCTTTAGTTGACAGGGGCTACACAACTCAGTTCTCTCTTCCCCAGGGTGGTGTCACCGACATGCTCATTCTGCGTCAATACCTTTATCAATGATGGCAATAAAAGGATGATTGAAGTAAAACACATCTATGAACCACTAAGTCTATCTATTTTCAGCTCATTTTGTCTAAGAGATAAACTACTTACTGATGTCTTAAGCATCTGAAAGTCTGTTTCTTTCATGAGGGGCAGACAAAGAAAGAGTGATTTGTCTGTCCACAGAGATTGACAGTCACAAATGTACCTTTCTGAAGTGAAACTTGGGGACTTACGAGATCTAATATACCGAGGAACATCTACTTGGTTTGCACTAAGTAGGAGTGTGAGATGGTTGGGTCTCTTACATTTGGTGGATGGGGAGAAGCTAGGTGGCACAGTGGATAGAGTGTTGGAGCCTGAAATCAGGAAGATCTGAGTTCTAATCCAGCTTCAGACACTTACCAGCTGTGTGACCCTGTGCGAGCTATCTGCCTCAGTTTCCTCATCTGTAAAATGGTGATAATGATAGTACCCACTTTTCAGGACTTGTTTAGATTAGTCAGGAAAGAGGTAGGTTTTGAAGAAGAAATTGAAGGTTGTGAGGAATATGGAGATGGGAAAGAGGGGATGAATTTAAGGAATGTGGGATGTGAGTTGGCCAAGAAAATGAAGGTTTTAACTCTGGAAAGATAGAAAGAATAAGTAGGATTCAGGAAGGGTACAATGAAGTCGCAACTATGGAAATAAGCCAAGCTTGAATTGGGAAGTAAGGAGGATCAATGAAGTAGTTCAGGGAAAGCAGAAATAGTAATAATCAGGGTTTTGTTCCCCCCCTCCCCCTTCTTCCTCACCCTGGGGGATCATTTGTACTCCATAGGATTACTTGAAAAAGCCAGGTCAGGGTATCTCATACTAAATGTAAATGAGTATTACTTCCCTTGTTCAGACTTTGGCAACATATATTATCTTTGCCATCAAAGATCTGAATAAAAACAAGCTTTGAATACCACAGGAATAATTTTAAAATAATATTACTTCTGCCAACAATGAATTAACCTTAATGAATAATTAATAATATCAACAAATTATCTAGAACCAAACAGGTACTAATTTGACAGATAATTACATTTTAGAGTTGGAAAGGTCCTAATGGCCATCTAATCCAGACTCCTGATTTTACAAAGAAGGCTTGGCGCCTGGGGAAGGAGTGTGATTTGCCCAAGGTCGTGGTAGTAGATCAGAGGATCTCAGTTTAAAGTTGGACAGAACCTTAGAGACCTTCGAGGCTGGAACTAGAATCTCCTGAATCAGTCCAAATATATTCCTCTTTCCACTATATCATACTGCTTCTGTAAGCCACAAACAAAAATCCAACTTTGACTAACAAACAAAAACAAAACAAAAAAACCTAAGCCATAAACTCAATTTGGTTGAATTTCTCCCCCAAAGCTTCTTTCCCACCAAACACCAATAAAATACCTAGTGGCCAGCTAAAGTTGGAAATGAACCTATGTATTTTTTAAATCTTCAGAATATAACAAAACCAGAACATTGTTTTTTTCTTCTGTAAAATAAAGGAATTAGACTAGATGATTTCAAAGACCCTTTTCAGCTCCAAATCCTATCATCTTAATACTATATGAACTCACAATGAACTAATATTAATTCAGTTGAAGTTCTTGCTTTGAATGAATTAATGGTTTTTTTTTCCTTCCTCTGAGTTAGGTTTTAGAAGAAGTTTTTTTTAAAAAAATTCCTCTATTCAAGAATATGGAGAAGGAAGTGGCAAACCACTGCAGTATCTTTGCCAAGGAAACCCCAAATAGGGTCATGAAGAGCAGACATGACAGAAACGACTGAAGAAAAATCCAGGATTGGGCCAATTTTCGTGTTCTAGGCCTTTTTATCCTGGCTACTCAAGGTTAATGCAAAAGATCAGTGATTCAAAAATTGAATATAACAAATTTTCCTAAGCACCTACTATTTATAAGGCACCTTGGTAGATACTAGGATACAAAAATAAAAGGGTCCCTCCCCTCTAGGAACCTACATTCTATTGGTGAACAAGGCAACATTGTCCTAGAAACTACTGGTTAGAACTCGGTTTCCGGATCTATGTTTCCTTTGAGAGGCAGAACTCCTTCTGCCCAACCTCCACTCCTCTCCACCCAAAAAACCTTGTCAGAGAAACTTCATTGTATTCCTGTTAAAAGTCTAACATGGAAATTCAAACAGAGCTGTTTTAAATAAGTCTAAAGTTGGACAGCATGCCATAGTGTCTGGATAATATTATTTTAAAACTGTTCCCATGGCTTGAATCACAAAATTTTCTCAAGAGGAAGGATGGATGGGAGGAGGGAAGGAAAGAAGGAAGGAAGGAAAGGAGGGAGGGGAGGAAGAAGGGAAAGAGGAAGAAAGAAAGAAAGGAAGGGAGGAAAAAAGGAAGGAAGGAAGAAATAAAGAAAAAAACTAGTGACTGAAAAACTAGAAGATTGTGAAAGATTGTGTGTATGAAATTTTTTGTTAGCATTTTAGTAGACTTATTTATTTTTAGTAAAGAAAACACAACAACATTGGTCCAATGGCCAAGTTGAAATGGCTGCTCATCAAAACAAAGGAAGCAGAACTTTTTGGGCTGTTAATTTAAGCCCAGAGCAGCCTCTGGAACATGTCTAGTCAGAAAGTACAGATATTTTTCCTTTTAGGGATTTTATCCCAGTTCTGGGTCAGGAACTCTGTGTTCGTTGTCTCAATTCGTGCTTTCCTTCTTCAGCCTTTTAGCTTTTGTCAGTCTCTGGCTCGCTTAGCTTTTAACCTCTTTTGAATGTCAGATCCTACTGAGCCATTTGCCTTCACTTTGCATCAATTTTTTCACCATTACTGCCTTCATTTCAGCTAATTGCATTTAGTTAATTTGCTGCCATTTATATGTACAGTGCCATTTACAGTCAAAGTATTTTAAGTTTTTTAAAACTACTTGTCTTAAGATTCAATGAAAAGTGTCTCAGGACTGAAGGAGTCCAATTTTATCTAATTTCCTTGTCATTCTCATTAGGGTGAGGGGGAGGGGAAGGTTAGAGCTGTGTAAGAGAAAGGCCTATCTGGCACAGTTAATGACTCCATTCACCAGATAAAAAGGGAAGAGCAAAATAGACCAATAATCCATGTCACACTGACCCACTCTACCAAAGCACCAACTCGGGGGGAATCTTATTTTAATGAGATCTCAATACATGAGCAAATTCCTACTCTGGGGATCCTTAGGGAAGCCATTATTTCTGTATAAGCAGTATTTGGAAGAATACCAGCTTATTGAAAGTTTTTATCCAAGACGGGAAATTCTTACTTCTTTATACTATCAGCTAAGTAAATGTCAAAGAAGAGGTGAACTGGGGAAATGATTAAAAGGAAATGGAATTGTTCCTTCCCAGCTTGTTGTCTTATTAGCTTCTTTCTACAAGGGGTGAAAGGGTTATTTTAGTGTTTCGGTGGGGGTAGGGTAAGGGATACTTTTTTTTTTTTAATGCTGCCTTCACCTGTTCAGAAGTGAATGACGTTAAAGTCTTTCAAAACAGAACTAGCATTATCAATCCATCTAGCCTTATCCCACTTCAAGGCCTATGGAAGAGTTAAGTACTGGACTTAGACTTTCATCAGCTCTGAATAAAAGGAATGTTGTAGGCATAGTACACTTGTGTTTCAATTGAAGAGGTCTCATGATACTCTTGTGGACAAGGTAGAGAGGTATGGCCTAGGAAGGTACAGTTTGTTGGATTTGTAATGGATTGAATGACTGGACTCTAAATATTGCGTTTAATGAATGGGCTGCTGTCAATCTGGAATAAGACTTCTAGGGGAGTCCACAGGACCCTTCTCCTTAGCTCTATTCTACTTAATATTGTTATTAATGTCATGGGTAAAGGCATAAGCACCAAAATTATCCAATTTGCAGATAACATGAAATAAGGAGAGTTTGTTTATCCATACTTATATATGGCCACATTTTGGCCCAGACAGATTATTGGTAAAGTACATAGCACAGTGCCTGGCACATAGTAGGTGTCACATAAATGTCAGCTATTATGACTTTATTGTTATTACCTCCCTTAGATTATCTTGTATTTATTTTGCATATATTTTACATACATACTTACATTTGGATAGATTGTCTCCTACAGAAGAATGGAAGCTTTTTGAGGGCAGGGACTTTTTCATTTTTTATTTTTGTGTACCCAGGACCTGATATACCAAGTGCTGGTACATCGCAAGTGCATTGATTCCTGATTGAACTTGGCTTTTTATCTGTTAGGCTTAAGATGACAAAAATCAAGATCCCTAAACATCTCAGTAGGCTAGGATGATGTACTAACTCTAAGAAGATGCCTTTTAGTGGAGATGAATATGAAGTGTTTGAATTAAACCCAGCTGCATAAATAAGAACAGAAAAAGACATGAAGAAAGAAGCATGTTCTCCAGAATGAGGGAGGGTATAATTACACTGTATTTGGTTCTGATTTTAGAAGGACATTGAAAAACTAGAGACTTTCTAGGAGAAGGTGTGGGAAAGCAAGCCATCCCATAAGAGGATCATAAGACTTAGGAAGAGCATGAGAGCTAGCTGGCTTCAAGTATTTGAAGAGCTATTATGTGAAAGAGAGATTAAATTTGTTTTACTTGGCTCAAGGGGGCAAGACTAGGAGTCATGAGTGGACAGTTGTTGAGAGATAGATTTCAGCTAAATAAAAGAAAAACTTATTCACAATTAGAGCTCTTGAAAAATGGAGTATGTTGGGAGGTGGTGAATTCCTTGTCCCTGGAGGTCTTTAAGCCTTTGTAGGTTGGATGGCCAGTTGTACAAGATGTAGAGGTGATTTCTGCCTTTCTAACTCTATGATTTTATTTTCAGATTTTAGGTACGAAAATGACTAATTCGCGTGCATTTTTCTTCTGCCAAATGGCTTCCCAGGAGGGACATTGCTCATAGGAGAAATAAAACCATAATTCTTTGCTCCTTGCCTTGAGTAAATCCTTATATAAGAAGGAAAAAGACAAATAGGATATCTTGTCAATGGAACCCTATTTACAAGGCTCTTGTCTCAGGATGACTTTCCAACTCAAAATTCACAGAAACCACTGTGACCCATCCCATCCCCCCAGAGAATTCTCTGGTTCAGAAAGGATTCTTGTAGAGAATGGAGTTTGCCATGAACTCATGATTACCTGTATGATCTTGAATAGGCCCTGTTTTGCTCGTCAACACACTCCACTTCAATTCCACGTGATTGTCGTGTTCCCACTGACAGAATGTCTTATGAGATCCCCAGCCAAATCCACAGTTAAAACCATATGCTGAAAACTCTTCATTGGGCAGGGAAGAGAAAAAGAGACAGGCAGAAAAAAGACAGAGTCAATCATTTAATTTAGAATAAAATAGAGACCTCAATTAGTCCCTGGAAGGAAAATTTATTTGAGATTCATCTCTACTTGAATATTCTGGGAAGGCCACAAATATCGGAACTGCCAGGAACTTGAAATGCAGGGAAAATGTCAAATTGTTTTCAAAATTTCATTTAGCTATTCTTTACTGGCTTTAAACAAATGAGAGATGGCAACGTCAAATTGGTTTCACATGAAAAAAAATTAAAGATGGTATCTTTCAATGACATCTATTGTACCACTTGAAGTCCCTCCTTTCACAATATTTAATGGTCCTTGATGAGGCTGAATCATATAGACTGAAATCCAAAATTAAGAATATTGAGAGGATACTACCCACAGATTTAAAAAAATCTGGATGTGTGGGTTGTCTAAAGAGTATAATACTGATGTTAATCCAAATTTTCATAATATTCTTTTAAAGTTTTCACACTTAGAATAGATGTTTCAGATGAAGTTTTTTTGGGAGGAGAATTAGCATTTTTTGGGTGCTCTTTATATAATAAATTAAATTTTTTTTTTGTTTTATGGTTTGTGTGTGTTATTTTTTTTCCCACTTAAAATGCTTGACACACTTAAAACCACAGAGGTAATCGAAACTATACACACATTTAAATAACCATCAGAAAATTTTCATTTTTAAAAAACTCTTCCTCTGGAATTTGTGGAGTTCATTGATATAGATCAACTATTTTCCTCATTCATCTGGCAAGGCATTGTCTGACAATGCTCCTTCCCAAATATATAATCTTATAGATTTTCATAAGATTCTTACCTTTAGGATTTTTATTTAACCTTGTGAATGCTGAAAACAAAACCCCATTGAATGTTGGAAAATTTGTGGTGAAATTAAGACCTCCCCCAAATTCAAACTTAAAATAGATATAGTGACAAGCTATGGATGCTTTAATGTGCAATTTTTTTGTTTAAGAAAATAAGGCATTCAGAAACTCAAATAACACCAACAAATTTCATTGCTTTTAATTTAGTTTAGACCGCCCACAAGATGGCAGCATTGAAATGGAAAGGGGAGAGAGACAAATAGGGCACCCTGCCAGTTGAACTTAAAATAAACCTCACAACAAGTCTCATGTAAATCGAGGGAAGTCTGATATCTTAAGGCTTATGATGGTCAAAATGAGATCATATCTTGTTTTGAGCTTTAACTTTGCCCAAGTATTTTGCTTTCTCTATCTACCCCACCTGTGTTATCCCCTCCCTACCAGCCTCCTCCCTTTGCACTATAACAATGGTATTTGGAATTTTAATGGAAAGATCTATTAAACAGATAAGAATGAAATTCTTTACATTTCTGGCACTTTGAAAACACTAATATTTGCTTCCAACTCATATTAAATCTGGAATAAGGATTCCACCTGATATACCCTCAAAATGGAATAGAAAAAAATTCCTAATTCCAGTGACAATGTGACCTCTTCAAAGGATGACATCAGAAGTCCAGAGAAATAAACTAGGAAAACAGATGATGTATATAATGTGAGCATTATCAGTTAGTGGAAAAGGGCCATATTTCACAGTTCTCGTGTCACTGGAGATTTATATTTCATGTCTAGTCTTTCGTAACCATGAAATAAGGCTTCTTAAAGCATGAGAAAGCATCTCCAAAATTTACCACACTTTTGCCTAGTGAGATTAAATTATGTAAATGAAGGACAGTAAATTGTATAGTTAGGTAGTCTTGAATGCTGCAATCTGATCATACTGGACTGTATTGCTACATAACTACATGTTAGAAAAATGTTAACGGGAATATTTTATTTTTTCTGTGTTACTCTCAACAATATTTCATAAAACATTCAGTACAGGAAGGCAATGACATATTTCATATATATAATTCAGATTATGTTTGCTTTGCTAAAAACCCTAAGCATGTCCTTCAGTAGAGGAAACCACCACATCTGTGAATTAAACTAAAGGATTTCTACTGATGTCACAAACATAGAGTTTAGGTTCTTATTACTTCCGGGATTAAGGAATCTCTTTGCCTGGAAGTTTTTTTTTTTTTAAGAAGGCTTAGATTATCATCTGTTTAGGAAGTCATGGGTGTGGTCCTGCATGGTCGGTCAAGGGAACTTCCAAGGTCCCTCCCAGTCTGGAAAATCTAAGTTTTGATCAGAGCATGCTGATTGCTATGCGTGCTTTTCTTCTACTCTTTTATTCTATCTGTTGGTCATTGAATTTATAGTTTATGGCTAGTTTTTCATTCTGTAAGAAAAAGTGGAAGGAAGGCATTTTAGGGTGGTGAATATGGTTTGAAGTTTCAAACTTTGGCCTGGGCAAAAAAGGCAATTAGAGGCACAAGATAGCCATAAATGTAAACTGAACATTGGAATATTGACCCCTAAATCTTCAGAATGCTATCCGGGCACCATAGCTGCAAAATTCTCATTAAAGCAAATGGGAATAATGTGGTTAAATCCCTGCTCGACTCTTAAAAAAATAGCAGGAAACAATATTGTGAACTTAAAACAAATTTATAGTCTCAGAGAGCAAGCACCAGCTGTACTTATAGAGCCAATCTTACTCACAGTTGAATCATTAATGGTGAATGTGCACGAGGATTTAATTTTGAAGTCTAGTATACAAAGTTTCTATTGAGTAGTTGAACATTCCCAACTCACAGGCTGGTCCTTACCATTCAAACAAGGGGAGGTGATGAGGGGCATGGAAATTGCAAGGACACTAACACACTTTGAGTTGCTATAGCAATATTTGAAGACATAGAAGCATATGAGGCCTGGTAGAGGGAAAATATATTTAAAAAGATGGTGGTTGTACCAGCTGTCTTGGCATAGCACTAATGGAATCTTGCATATAATGCAACCACCCAAAAGGTGTGAGAATGTTATGTGTTTATTGAGTTTACTAACACTAGTAAGAATTAGACTCTGGTTGGTTGTATATGATCATGGCAGAATTGGATTCTGATAGAGAGCTCTGATGAGTTCTGATTTTCCAGTTTATGAAAAACAGTGAGAGAGAACAATACTTTCAGGTTCTCTGACACACAAAGAACTATGTAGGCTGGCTAGAAAGAACCAACTGGACAAAATGAACTTTTCAATCATCTCAGAATCCATTTTGGTATAAATCTGGCTTCCTGTTCTTCATGGCCCCAGAATCTAGAAGTAGAAAAGTTACCAGGAAGCCCATTTAGCCTTGCTATCCACCAGGAAAAACTTCCTCATAATTGGAACCATCCAAAGGCTGTCTGAGGAGGTAATGGACTCTTTCTCAAAAGGAGTCTTCAACTAAAGGCTGGACGACCATTTGTTGGGTGAATTTTAGAGGGGGTTCTCATTCAAGACTAAATGGCCTTTGAGGTCCTTGCCAGTTCTTAGATTCTACATAAATGCCCAGTCTGCTCTATGCTTGAGGGCACTAATGAAACATAACTCACAATCCACCTTAATATAACATTTTAAGGCTTATAACACACTTTCCTCATAACTAACCTATGAGATAAATAGGACAAGTATTATTTTTCTCATTTAACAGATGAGGAGACCAAGCCTCTGAGAAGATAAATGATTTGGCTAGATGGCTCAGTAGATAGAATTCTGGGCCTGGTGTCAGAAAGACCTAAGTTCAAATTTGGCTTCAGATACCTAGTACCTATGTGACCCTGAGCAAGTCACTTAACCTCTAAATGCTTCAGTTTTCTCATCTGTAAATAGAGATAGTAATAGCACCTACCTTCTAGGGTTGTTGTGAAGATCAAATAAGATAATGATTGTAAAGCCCATATTTCAGTGACCGGCACATAGTAGATGCTATCTAAATGTTAGCTAGAAGCAGCAGTAGTAGCAGTAGTAGCAGCAGCAGCAGTAGTAGTAGTGGTAGTAGTGGTAGTAGTAGTAGTAGTGGTAGTAGTAGTAGTAGTAGTAGTAGTACTAGTAGTAACAATCTGGGGCAAGAGCAGAACTCAGGTCTTTTTCACTCCAAATCTAGTTTGATATCCTCAGCAATACAAATGATATCCTCAGCTCTTCTAAGTGCACCAGACAATCAACCTTAGCTTCCAAAGGAATTCATCAACAGGGTGTATGACGTATATCAATGTTTCCTCGACAATGATACCATCAGTCTAGCCTGAAAGCCCTGGGTCTAATTAGTATACTTCCTTAACGGATGTTGTCACTATTGAAACCACAATAAACTGGAAAACAAACATCTTAGAGGAAGTTCTTTGTTGAGTTACTTTTACTGGCTTTGTTGCCCCCTTCCACCCCGAAATGACAGCTGCTGATTCAGCAGTCCCAAACCACCCCTTGGATAATAAACAGGCAGTAAATTAGAGAATGGAAAAAGAGATACAGGGTGCTGTCTTTTGTATACAGAGACGACCTTGCATACGTCAGTACCATCAGGACATGGCCTTTGAGGTTGTTTTTAAATTTTTTTCTTCCCTTCCTTTCTATAGTGGTGATGGGTTGAACTGAATTAACTTGGGTGAGCACCCTTTGACTGTGCCTTTGGTGAGATGGCAGGCTTGCTGTCTGTGACCACGAAACAAGGTTCCTTTATGTGAAACTAAAGAACCATGACCTTAATGTCAAGTTCAAATCAAATGAGTCAAGTGGAGTTTTTTTTTTCTTTTCTCTTTCTTAAAGCAGTTCTTAGAAATTCTTGATTGCCTAGGAGAAAACTATCCAGTCTATGAATTCCAAATTGCTTTATTCCTCATCCTTCTTTCTTTCTACTGTTTGTCTTTTGGTTATAGTATTAACACCTGCCTTCCAAAACAATCCCTTAGCTTGGATGCTTCGGTGTGGTGGGGAGTTAGCCATGAGTTCTAGAAGGCTTTGTCGGTAGTTCACAAGCCCTGGATAGCACAATTGACATAGAAAGGCTTGGAGTATGGGCTCAGTGACAGGCTGTGTCTATTGTCTAATCAGATGTGTTGGCACACCCAGGTGGGAGCATCTCTAGGAGGAAGTGAAAAAGAAGATAGGACAGGAAATATTAAACTGATAGCACGATTTCATTGCAGATTTAATAGTTGTGCCTACTGATTGGAAAACTGAAAGTAATAATGAAATCATTTAAGGGAATTATCAGGACCTCATTTAATCGATTCTATTTGTTTTCCCTATTCATGAACCTAATGGACAGTAGGTTGTGTTTCCTATCTCCTGTCCTCATTAGCACCTACAGTGGAAAGCTGGCTGTATTTTCTTAGTACTCACTATTACCACACTGCTTAAAGCCCATGTTGACTGCAAAGAGAATCACACAGAGAGATATTCACTCAGATTATAGAAAGCGATACAGAGGGCCAAGTTTGACAGCAACTTGGGCAAAGTAGGGGTGAAGGGGTGATCAGAAATAAGCTTCCTGCTAGTGACTATCCCTCACTGACATATTAAGAAGGACTTGAAGGCGTCAGGAAGATCGTCAGTCAACCAGAATGCCCAGCAGGGAGATTTAGGGGTTAAGTTCAAGGTAGGGAAGTTTGTTTTGCTGCCTAATCAGGTCAACAGTGATGGTGTCCCTAAAGGAAGCATACTAATTAGGCCAACTCTTTCTGTTTTCAGCTTGGCTTGATGGTGCCGGACTGTTGAGGAAACATTGATATACACCACATGCCCCGTTAATAAATTACTGTGGCAGCCATGGATGATCGTGCTTAATAAAGGAAATGGAAGAAACTGAAAAACTGACCTGCTCACCTTAACCATAATGATTAACTTTAAAGTATTTAAAAACTGCCGCTTGCCAGCACTGATTGTTTTCCTTTGGTGCGTGTCTGTGAGGAAGAACTGTGCAAAATACTTTAAAAAAAAAAAGGCCATAACCTTGGAGAGTGGTTAAGCTCTGATAAATAGCCACTGAAAGACTTTGGGAGTCATTAGCTTTTCTATTAATACAAGGATGAGGAGGTGCTGCCCCAGGGCTCCCCGGAGTACTTCCCTTCCTGCACACATTTATAGCAGTGGTTTCCTGCACCCCCTTTTTGTGGCCCGCCCACCGGCCCACTGGAAACATTACTGTAAGACTGCCAACTCTGCGGCAGGCAGAACTGACAAACTTTGCCTGTCTTGGTTTTGCAGCATCATGAGGAAAATAAACAGTCAGGCTGCTGCTGTCTGTGAGGCTCCCTCTCCCTACAGTTTGCAAACACAGCCCATGTCCTAGACCGCTGCGTTTAAACAAAGTATGTTAGTCAGTTCCTTTGGTGGAGAGCTGAAATTGTCAGCATTTGGCAAAGGCTCATGGGCAGGGAAATCTCAGTTCCTGCTGCATATACATGTGGATAAAAGGAGGAAAAAAATACGTTTATGCTCTGGCACTTGGAAACCAGATGCTGCTACTCTCCTGAGGGGACTTTTAGGGGATGTAAGAGTGGAGAAAGAGGCCCTACAAGCATTCTGTTGGCGCTCATGATGCCCACTGCGCTAATAGACAGACAAGGCACAGAATACCATACCTGACTGTATTGTGCTTTCTATGACAGTTGGTTTCTCCGTGGCCAGTATGGTGGTACCGCCTGGAAGAGAAGGTATAAAGCAGGCAATGAGCGGAGGAAACATTACGGATGAGAGATGACATATTTAAAGGCATTTAAATGACATTATAAGCATCTATACATGCTATGCATGTAGCTGTTGGCATATCTCTGTCTTGGTTTCTGTCTCTTTGTCTCTCTGTTTCTCTCTTTCTGTCCCTGTCTCTGTCTCTCTTTTCCATACATAGGCATGCACACGAGTTCCTATACTTTATTTAAATCCTAATACTCTCCACTTAGCTCTCCGAATTTCAGTGCATAAACTTATCCACAAAAAAGGTCAGAGTACACAGATGATAGAGGTATCTGTGGTGCTTCTGACTTCCCCAGTCCATTGATTTTTGTTTTGTTTTCGGTATACCACAGATACCTCTAAAATCTGTGTGATCCTGAGGGAGTTACTTATAATTTTTCTGGTCTAATCACGTGTAAACTCCTTTCAGGCAAAGACAATTTCACTGTTGTCTTTGCATCCTCGGTGCTTAACAGAGTGCCTGATGCTTGAAAAATTCCTACTGATTGATTGAGTCTCAGTTTCCTCCCCTACAAAATGAGGATAATAATAATACTTGCACTACTTAACAGCATTATTGTGAGGTAAATGCTTTATAAAACTGAAGTTGCTACATATGTGCAAATGCTTAATTAAAACATCAACCATTATTTTTCCTAGAAGATTCCTTACAAAACCCTCCTATAAGGCTATCTATTTGAAATTTATATGAGGAATAAGCCATGGGAATAAAATATAGTGGAAAGTACTGATTTCTGGATGTCCTTCGTAATTTGGGAATAAATTTGACCCAGATCTCTCCCCTTGAAAATGATCTCCAAGTATTTTAACTCTATGACCTGAATGGTAGTTACAAACTAGCTCCCTTTGCCTTGTTTTAAAAATGAAGGGGGTTGATGCTGGCTACCATAGTCTTTCCTTTCCGGTGATGAAGTTTTTTTTTTTTTCTAAGGCCAAGGTTTATGCCCAGTTCATCTCAAGCTGGATCGTTACAGGGAAAAAAGGAAGGGGAGAAATCTTTCTCATTGTCCTTAGAAATACAACTGCCTATTAAGAGTGAAAAAAGAAGCACTAAGCATATTGTGGGCCTTCAATCAATATTAAACAATGAAATTCCTGGTCAAAGGACAGACTCTTAGGGGACCAAGGCTTCTTTTGCCTCTTCCCTGTCTGTTTCTTTGGCTCTTATATCTCTTCTTCTTTGTTTATCAGGCCCTTATATTCTCGCTCTGTTCTTACAACTATGTAGCATTTTACTTAATATATATCGGTGGATATTTAAGAACAGTATTTCCTCTGTTAGCATGCTTTTCAGGCAAGTTAATTCACCTGTCATCTCAAATGCAAAAAATTGGATAGGCTCTGTGTGTGTGTGTGTGTGTGTGTGTGTGTGTGAGAGAGAGAGAGAGAGAGAGAGAGAGAGAGAAAAAGACACAGAGACACACACATACATATACACAGAGACAGAGACACAGAGAGAGAGAGACATATACACAGAGAGAGAGAGACAAACACACAGACAGACACATACATACATACACAGAGACAGAGAGAGAGACATATACACAGAGAGACAGAAAAAGACACAGACACATACACACACACACACATAAACACACACACAGAGACAGAGAGAGAGACAGATATATACACAGAGACACAGACACACACACACACACACAGAGAGAGAGAGAGAGAGAGAGAGAGAGAGAGAGAGAGAGAGAGAGAGAGAGAGAAAGACAGAGAGACAGAGAGACAATGGTTGATGGTTGAGGGAGTTTAGAAATAGATAAATGGGACAGGTAGAAGCCCAGCTAGAAGACAGAAGTTATTATGACTTGGGGTAGATCTCTTGCCTTGTGTGCCTGGCATGTAGCATATACTCAATCAATGTTTGAGGTTGTTACAGCTGATGATGACAATACCCTCCAGCTCCAGCTGGGCCCTAGTCCTATGCAAGGAGCTCCCACTGATATTCCATTTACACGTGGAACAAGAAAGCATAGGACACATGTTACACATCCACAGTGTGAATCAGAGGCCGGCAGCCCTGCCCTTGGAATGTTCTTAAGAATTCTGAGATAATCAGCAGCAGTAACAAGTCATGCTATACTCTCTCCCCCAGTAAAACTGCTGGATGTGTGGTGACCCATGAACAAAGCCTCGATGAGGCAGGCTCTGGAAAGAAGGAATTATATGTATTATGGGTTAAAAAGGTGAGTCTGTAATGGCAGAATTGGAGATAGGCCAAGGAACATTAGCATTATGTTACCCGTGGCCCTATGGAATAAAGATTCAAGGTGAAAATTCACTTTAAAAAACTGATATGCATTATCAGTTTTACACGCATGCTGCAGGTTGGGAGCCAAATTCTGCTTTCAGGTAGATACAGAGCTCCAAAGTAAAAATCAGACTCCTGGTGCCTTTGAAGTCAATTGTATTATCTAATGACTCCAAAGGCATTTGCAAATGAGTAACTTCTGGGGTGAATTTCACCTTGGCAAGCATGTATGAAAGAGCAGGCTTTGTCCTCATTTGCATGCATTTCACATAAATTCACCTGGAACTCCATCTATTCCTTAAGGAGTGGGCACTCTGCTATAAAACTCATCCCCCCAACCTCATACAAATAGGTCATGACAGGAACAGAAATGAAATCAACCTCAGCTGTGCAAAATAACTTTAAAAAAAACTCTAATGAGAGCATTGATTAGGATGAATAGAACCTAATTTCTATGTTCCCGCCAATCAGTGTTAGAGTGAGAAGGGTTTGATTTGGCTTCGTGACACTGAATATCCAAAGTTTGAGGTGCCACAGTGAAAGTCCTGTTGGAAGGGTTTAAAAAGAAGGTGAGGGGGCAGCTAGGTGGTACAGTGGATAGAGCACCAGCCCTAGAGTCAGGAGGACCTGAGTTCAAATCTGGCCTCAGACACATAACACTTACTAGCTGTGTGACCCTGGGCAAGTCACTTAACCCCATTGCCTAGCCAAAAAAAAACCCCCAAAAAACCCCAAAACAAAAAATAAACAAAGGTGAGAGATGAGTGTAGATACAAGAGCTGTGTGGTTTAGATGGACAGCAAGGGAAGTTACACGAGTTGGATGACATTATTTCTCTTGGTGAACATTTGTGTATTAGCAAGTATTTTTTCAGAAGGGGGAGAAAGGGCAGTTTAATAAAACAAAAGATGTTTTCAAATGACAACTTCATCTTAGCTTAGCATATTAACAAGACATTCGTGAGTGCAGTGGGCATAAAGGAAGCCTTTGATGCCTGTGGCAAAAGCACCTTTTTATATCCCCACTCCTGCTACCAGTAGAGCAGTGTCCATACCCCAGGCACCTCTGTGCATCCAGATGCTCTTACTGTTTTCATGAATGTATTTATACAATCCTCGAGACCTGCAATACCAATTAGTGAAGGCAACATTTGGCCTTAATGTGGACTCAAAAAAATTCTAAGTGCACTATTTCTACAAGGAGTAATTTAGAACACTACTGATCATACATGCTCTTGAATGGTTAAATGGTTGTCTATGTTTCCACTACAAATGCCCTATTTTCACTTGTTTGCAACTGTATGCCATACACAATTTGCTCCAGGCTAACATACTTGCTGGATTTTGTTCAAAGACTTTGGTTTCAATTGGTTCAGTAATGAGTAAATGTGAAGTTAAGGAGGTTACTTATTCTGATATCAACAGTAAAGTTGAAGTTTTGTTTCTAATCAATACCAACTGACTACTTTAGTGGGTTATAAAGAAAAGAGCTGCTGTATGACAGGAATATACAATGATTGCTGCAGTCAGCTCTTTCCATGAGGAGTTTCGATATGGATATGGGCTATGCTTTACCAAAAGCCTGATATCTGTCGCATAATGTTTGCAAGAAATTATGGGAAGGCTCAGAAAGAGCTGGTTGCAAAAATGGTATTCTGTTTTTACATCTACTCTAGGGTTTTCTATGGGACATTTTAAATAGAAAATGATTATTACTGGGAAATAGTAATACAGATTTCATTAATAGCATGATCAAGAGATGTTTAGCCTGGAAATTAGGAGGGGGATAACACTACTCAATTGAGTGTTTTGGAACTTCCTGGTCCCTTCTACAGCTCGCCATCCCTCTCTTTCCTCATACTAGCTCCTGGCTTAGAATTCTTGTTTATAACTTTATTACTGAAAAATATAGAGAGACAGATTATAAAATCATTGGTTAGGAACTTTGGGAAATATATTATGGGATCTTGGAAAAACAGTTTGGCCAACAACATGGAGCCATCCTGACATTCCTGATACTATGGCCTTCAATATAGCCAATGGAAATTAATTATGTAGGCTCTCTGCAACCCTGCTGTATAAAGATGCAAAACTTCATATAAGAACTCCTATTTAATCTCTGAGGTTTGGGATTCTCAAAATGAGATTCAGATGACATCTGAAACTGCACTATGACCTGGGCAGTATTAAAGGTCCTATAGTACCTTTTGTAGTAATACAGTGGAAATCCTAGTGCCTTAGACAACTTCCAAATAGTGTAATCATATTTCCCCACTTGCCTAATATTTCCTCTGCTATTCCAACTAGATTGAGTTCTCTCTCTCTCTCTCTCTCTCTCTCTCTCTCTCTCTCTCTCTCTCTCTCTCTCTCAGACTATTGTTGTTTGATACTTTCTATTACTAAGGACAATATTTGCCATGTCACTATAGGTGGCTTGTACGTTTGACAGTGAGGTGAAGTAATGACTTCATATATCACTTGTAAATTGGAATATAAAATTTTTTAGCATCCCTTTATCTGAAAGGTCTTATCAAAAAACAAAACTGCTTTTATTCATACTTTAATATCATCATTATTTTTAGAGTATGAGGCAAGCTGGGCAATGAATCTATTTATGCTTTAGAGATAATTCTTGAATTCTGGATTCATTAGAACATGAAAATAAATGAACATCTTTCTAAATCATCATTCTAAAGTGGTGTGTGTATATGTGCGTGTGTGTGTGTGTGCCCCTCCTGAGGGAGGGGCAGAGTATACCTGTAGAGAAATTCCTTCTGAAGTAACTGTAAATGACTGAAAAGATTACTGTAGGTTTTAAAAGCAAATTCTTGGTAGGAGACTGAAGAAATATAATGTAAATTTCTGATAAAGTTTGCCATCATCAATGGGATTATGGTGTCTTTCTGCTATGGATTATTAGATATTAGTTGGAGATGACCATGATATGAGCTAAAATGATGTTGCAATGAAATGAAGATGGTTTCTGCACCTGTCAGTTGGAAGTCATCACCTGTTCCACTGTGACAGTTGGCCTGGTCATCATCACATTCATCCACTGGATTCCCATTAGGAGTGGTTGGTCCAGCTGTAGGTGCTGAAATAAGAGCCAAGGGTTATGATCCAACATGGCTAAAATGTGTCCTCCAGCCTACAACAGCTAGACTTGCCAACATCTGGGAAGAAAACTCTTGTCTATGGTGATTAAGGTGAGACACATTATCTTGTTTTTTCTTTTCAGTGCTTTCTCTGAAGGCATCATGGAAAACTGAGTTTGAGTGTCTGATTTATGCTTGCACTGAGTTAGCAAACCTGAATTTGACCAATTATATTCTCTACAGACATCTCCTTATTGCAGAGGTCTTCAGTTCTCACTAGCAATTCATACCTAAGAATTAAGAACATCAATGAGACATATTTTGACTGATTTTTTTTCCCTTTTAATTTTTGAGCTACTGGAAAAACCTACTTGTCATGACTCCATTTGCATAATTAACATTTTATAAATTTATTCAAATCTCAGCATAATTTTCCTTTTCCCAAATGGCTTCCCCATACTCCTACTTAACTCTATTTTTTTTCTAAAAAGTTGATTAAGTTTCCCCCCAAGAAAACCTTTTCAAATACTTGGTAATGCACAATCTTCCTATTTGGAGCAGGTGTGTGAGAAGAGTTGTCTCAAGGTATCTTAGCATCATTTTTTGGTTAATTTCTATAGAATTGCATTCCAAGGTTGGTAGATATCCCCATATCTTTGAGTTTGCAGTTGAAGGGTAGCTAACATTAATAAAAAAAATTCCTTTAAATTTAGTTCAGTACATTTTTCCCAAGCCTGTTATTCATTTTTTCAGTCTGTTTAATATTTTACAGTTTTCAGTATTACATTTCACTTTATAAGACTTGAGATAGTGTACGTTTCCATTGAAGTTTGAAAGCCAGACAAGCTGTAGCCAAGGGGGGTGGGGAGGGGATCTGTTCACTCACAGCTTCTGGCCAGTGGAAATGTTCTGGTAACTGCTGCCTTCCCAATAAAAATCTGACACTGTTTGTTATTGTGATTAAGTGCTCTGCAGAGTTATGACAAATGTAGCTAAGCTCCAGCTTCCTCCAATCTCCAAACATATACATCGACAATTCATTCACTCAACATTCAACCAACGTTTACGGAGCTCTCATTACGTACAAGGCACTATGCTAGGAACTCAGGGGGATCGGAAGATGAGAAGGCCTGGTTCCTATCCATAGGAAAGGATAAAATGCTGATAATGCATGCACTATTTACTGCTTCACTTCTGATTTCACAATAGGCATGCTCATACCACTCCATGCTCTTCCCTGGGGTATCATTGAGTCAATATAATCAACACAGGCAAGCCCGTGATAGTTCCAGATTTCCATAATACTGTCCTACTGTGTTAGAACTGCCACCATTAAGTACTTTAAACTCTCTTTATCCCTCTTCCCAGCTCAATATCCCTGCTCTCATGAATGCTTATAGGGGGTGTGGTTCCCAGTTTGATAGGAGAGGAACTCCCTTGGTTGTATCAAGACCTCACAGGGCAAATATGGAAGATGAAACTAAATGCTGTCATGGACCAGTCTCTTCTTGTTCTTTTTGCATGAATTTGGCTTTCTCCCAAAGATTTAAGTCCTTCAGGATTAGGGCCAAAATTTACTATTTTATTCTTTGCATTAATAGCACATAGCTGGTGCTCAACAAATACTTGTGGACTGATTTACAAGAAACAAAATCTACTAATTTATATGGGATTCAATTAAGTTGAATTAACATTTAATGAGTTGGGTTTGAATTGACATGGACAAGACTTAGTCTCTCTAAGTCTCAGTTTCCTTATCTGTAAAATGAGGAAGGTGAACTAAGCATTCTCTAGGGTCAAGGACAGAGTCTGATAAGTCTTAAACAAATCTAAGCGTCTTATTCTAAGTCTGACTTTGTGTAAAATAGTTATGCATTAAGATGAAATAAATACAATCTCTGCCCACAAAAAGCTTACAGTCTAATGGGGGGGCTATGACATGTACTAAAATAGTTTTGCTACAAGGGAGAAGGAAACATGTAAAGAAGAGATCTAGACACAGAGCTATGAGAAACTTGAGCAAGGGAACATTACCTTCACTGAATGGCAGGGACAGCAGGAGGGGGTATTGTTCATCCTTTGTTCTCGAAGACTACCAATGACATCAGGAGGATGATGTCTTGACTTGCAAGTGAATTGGATTTAAGTGAGGCAGAGCTGTGCAAAGTTATCAGCCTCACTCTCTCCTCCAGGGTCATCTGAGTCCAGTGGCAAGACAAAGGTCAGAACAACTGGCAATGGCCCTGAATATAGTGGGAGACCTTGGTCTTCTTAAGCTAAGGTCTTTCCCAGGTATCAGTATGTCTGAGGCAACACCCATTCAGTGATTAAAGGCTAGGTAAAAAGTGAGGCAAAAGATGGCCTAATCTTCCTTCACAAGAGAATCAATTTGAGAGTTGAAGACCCTCAGAGAAGAAGAAGGTATGTATGGGGGAAGGCTTCAAGTACCTTTGATTTTTCTTCCTTATCTCTCTCTTTCTCTGTTACCTATATGTGTACAATATCTATGTGTGCATATATATGTATGTAAGTATAAATATTTATGTATATATGTGTACATATAGATATTATATACCCATAAAGATGACATATATATCTGTGTATATATACATCTATCTATATCTATATCTATATCTATCTATCTATATATATGTATTTCATAGGACTACAGATTCATAGAAAGAACCTTAGAAGGTCATTTGTTCCAACTTCCCCATTTTGTAGATGAGGAAACTGAGGCTCTAAAGTGACTTCCTCAGTCTTGTGAGTTCTTAGAACTCTGACAGCAAATCACATGACCAACATGCTTTAGGTTTATGCTGGAAAGTAGTCACTCAGTTCAATCTTTCCACTCACTACATTCATCCCACTTGCCACGTCAGCTTTCCTTTCCAGAATCAGGGATAAAGAGTTACATCAGAGCAACAGAACCTCTTATCCTGGACTGTATTCCTCATTACTTTGGGTGAATGAGTCTGCCCTCAGTCCAATTTGTCTGTTCCCGGAATATACTCAAACTTACAAAATCTGTATCCTAGCTAAAATCCCTTAGACATGGTTAACTGAGATCTGTGTTGAGAGCATTAAGATAATACAGTGGCCTGGGGTGATGCTATGAATATAGAAACATAGCTACAATGTTAAGAAGATAGATAATGGGCTTGTTTTAAATAAATCCATAGAAAAGTTGCTATGAATTATTCAGAAGTAGTGAATTGATTGAACTAAGCACATGTATATTTTTATGGTGTTTAATTTGCCCAGGAATGTAATTAGATTTGATTAGCTCAAGACCCAAATACTTTTGGAAACCAAAAGAAAGAGGTCTTTTTTTAAAGGCATTCCTCAGGAATAGTATGAGTGTAGGCTTAATAATTTAATGTCTGGTTACTGATGTGTTGGCACTACTAACAATAAATAGAAATGCTAGCAAGGGCCTTTCTCCTCAGTGAAGCTTTTGAGTTTATGAAATTGGTCAGTCTTGAGGTTACTCTGTGGTTGGACTGTGCATGGCTATAAAGCCATAGGGTAGCTGAAATGGACCAAGCCAACACTTATACAGCAAGCAACCCTCATTCTACTTTGCAACATTTTCGTCACAGACCATTGTATTTTTTTTTAGTAAAAATGTGATCAGACGCTACCACACAGGCATTATTTTAACTCTGCTTTGCCCTGCTGTCCTTCCCAAATGATAATAATGATATCTCAGATATACACACAGCATCTTTATAAAGATGCAAAGTGCCTTCACGTGTATTTCTCCGTGAGAAACCACAGAAATTCAGAGTTGGAAAAGACCCGAGAGGTTACTGCACTTGACCAAGAATTCCTCTGACAATTTTCCCAAGTGTTGCTCTTTCACCAATAATTCATTGACCAACCCTAATTTAGCCTCTGTGTGAAAACTTCCAGTGACAAGAAAACCCATTACATCCTAAGACATCTTGCTTCTGGATAGTACCAATTATCATGGAATTCTCTTTGATGTTGAGCTAAAATATGTTTCTCTGTAGTTTCTACCCATTGTTCTTAGTTTTCTTTTCTGGGGAAAGAGAGAACAAATCTAATCTTTCTTCCAAGTGATAGTCCTTTAAATACCAAAGACCACTAACATGGATCCCCTAAGTATGCTTTTCTCTAGACGAACCATCTCCATTATCTTCAATCAATCCTCATGTGTTCTGGATTCCAGTTCCCCTCACTGTCACTGCCATTCTGGTTATGCTCTTCTGGACACACTCCAACTAGCCAATGCTCTTCCTAAACAGTGATACAGTATTCCATAAATGATACAACTAGAGCAGAGTACCAATTTAAACCACCTACCTCCTGCTGAACATCTTGCTTCTGTTAATGCAGCTCAAGATTGCTTATTAGCATTTTTGATTGCCCTGTCACATTATGGACTCATGCTTAGCTCACAGTCCACTTTGACTTTTCCAAATTAAATAACTATATTCAGATATCTCACTACATAGCCATTTAGACTGTAAGCTCCTTGACAGCAACATATCATGTAAATAGGACTTTGGTATCTTCAAGACAGTGCCTTGTATAGAATAAATACTCCCATTTAATAATTTGTTTTGCTCTGACAATAGGAAAGTCATTCTATTATCAATCAACAAACATTTGTTAAGTACTACTATGTGTCAGGTACTATGCTAAACTACTATGCCATTCCTTTTCAAAAAAATAAATTTTATTTTCAAATAGTCTGCACCTTTTCTCCTTCCCCCCTTCCCTCCTCCTCCCTCAATGAGAACATAAGAAATCTAAAATATAAAATATAAAAAACCCCAACAAATTCCCACATTGGCCATGTCCAAAAAATGTCTTAATCTGCAATCTGAAGCCAACACCTCTCTTTCAGGAAATGGGCAGCATGTTTTATTGTGACTTCTCTGGACTTGAAGATGATTATTGTGTGACTCAGAGTTCTCAAGTTTTTCAAAGTTGTCTATATGATATTGTTGTTAATATATAGATTATCATCATGGTTCTGCTCACTTCATTCTGCATCAGTTATGTAAGTCTTTCCAATTTTCTGTGAGACTGTCTTTGAAGTTTTTCTTTCTTTTTTTTTTGTGGAACCATCAGGTAATTTATGGCACAGATGAACATGATATAGACATGGAATATTTGGAAAACAATGGGGACTCTAGATCTGAAAAAGTCCTAACCATAGAACTTAATATCCATTTTATGGGGGTTGGGGGTGAGGAAAGTATTTCTGAACACTAAATGGGTAAAGATTACTGAGAGAAAAATGTTTGCAAAAGGCAGGTAATCACAATACACCAGAGATTATTAAGGGAAAACCCCTTCCTCCTATATAATTCCATTGTTATAATGTTATAATTGTATATAATTCTGGCAGTATTCTAGTGGATGAGTGGCCTTTCCAGACCTTTGTACAGAAATGACTATCGCAGCAACATGGTAGCACTGTCAATCCTTGATGAGAAAAGGTGGTATTCAGTGTAAGCACCAGTGGGAACACACTAACATGAAGAGGAAAAAACAAACCAACCGACTAGAACTGTCTGTGAAAAATGTAATTAATTACCTTCCACTTCACAACCCAGCAGCTCCATTCTTAGCCCTAGTCCTCCATGAGTGGCTCTCTCGGGGTAGATCCTGATGAATCGGGTGGACAGAGGAGGAAAAGTTCGAAGCTCAGGTGTATCATAGTTGTTGTTACCCTCAAAGGACTGTGAAGTGTGAAAAAGAGGATTTGTTAGGACAGTACTCCCTATTAACAAAGAACATGCCTTCCTGCCCCCTCCCCAATCCACTTCCATCCTAGGTCTCTGTTACATGGGCTAAAAAGTAAGCCATATTGTCTCACTGAGTATGGAAACGGCATTTCTTAAATGAAGAGGGAACAAATGGGTAGTTAAACCTTTGCTGAAAAGCGATATTATTTTCTAGAAACAGTAGTCTTCAATGAAGTTATATCGGAAGCTAAGGATTTAATGAGACATGTTTTTAAATGATTCTTTGATGTGTGGTTTGGTGAAGTAACATTTTTACCACTTCCTGAAGAAGGCAAAGAGTGTGTGTGTGAGTGTGCATGTGTGTGTGTGTGTGCGTGTGTGGTGTGTATGTGAAGTCAACTGAGAATAGGAACTTGCCACTTTTACAAGCTTATCATGAATACACATTCAACTGAATATGGCTCTTTGATTCTCCCAAAATGAGTGGGGTCCCAGTCTGACAAAATCTAGTCTTCTCAAAGAGATGGAAATTACATTGCAGAAGTTGGAACTGGTCAATTTTATCTAACAAAATTGCTATTTATTCAGGAACTGCCTACCCATTGAAATGGGTATTTATTTAAGAAATGCCTACCCACTTCAGACATTTGAAGATAAAAGATTTCCTCATCTCAGGGAAAGTAGCAAGTGACCCAACTGGCAATATTTTCAAATTCATGTTATGAAGAAAGGCTAAATCATAACATGAATCTGAATTTCCTTTGAAGTGGATTCCTAACAACTGGATATATTTTCCTTGACAAATAATGGATTAGGACAGACATCCTCTCTATTCCTGAGTCAGCATCTTCTTTACCCTATCCTTGCTGGAGAGCAAGGGGAAATTAGAATAAAATATTTTTAAACTAGAAGGGACTTTTAGCTTAAACTCTTTGTTTTTACCAATGCGGGAAATGAGGACTAAAGACGTCAACTGATTCATAAGATCGCATCATAAGTTAATCTCATCAAGAATAAAATTCTTGAGTTTTCATCTGATATGAAGGTACCCAATGCTATTGATCAGAATGCAGTGATCTTTAGTCCAAGAGCCACCATGTATAGCAGCAAATTTTTAAAGGATGGCTTTTGATTTGGTCAGTAAACTACTACTCCATTACTAGGGTAGCGTAGAATGCCACCATATCATGCTAAGTCCTAATGATCACACTAAGACATTAGAAATAAAATGAAGCTACTGGCCATTTGGTGGGGTGGGGTGGGGGGGCATGGCATGAGTGTAAAGAGGAACTTCACCATACAAGTCATAGAGATAGGTAGCTGTCAGTTCCAATCACAAATAGCCATCTCTATAACATGCTGCCTCCACCCTGGCCAGCAACTTTACGTCTTCCTCTCAGGAATCATGCCCTCAAAAGCACCCTGGTTTCTAATAGGTAAGCTTTCACCTGATCTTTCCCAGAATCAGGCCTCCTCCTCCATATCTTAGCCATCTTCATACCATGCATGTCTACTTCGCCCATCTCCCGTCCCTCTAGCTCTCCCTCGTGAGTTGTTTCTCCCCATTAAAATGTAAGCTTCTCAAGGGCAAGGGCTATTTTGCTTACTTGTATCTGTATTGCCAGCCCTTATCACAGTGGGCACATAGCATTTAATAAACGCTCTGTCTGCCTATCTATATGAGGAGGTAGGCTACATATTCAGAAAGGCATTACTTGGCAAAGAGAAGCTACCAGAAATTTAACAATATTCTGGGCACCCTCTAAGTTTCCCATCATTTAAAAAAAAAAGTGGACATGGTATTAATGGACCTGTATTTCTCAGACAGAACTGAAAAATTCCCAGGTTTTTAACTCTCGCTGTTATTAGGGTCTAATTAATTTGTTGCCAGTAAGGCACTAATTATCACAAAGATTATACTATTACATAGAAATGCTTTGTATACCTTAACATAACTCCAAAGATCCTGGGAACAAAGCATGTGTGGAGACGTCCATATCTACAAAATTCCAGACAGACTCTTCTCTTAATAATGGTTTTAATAGAAGCATGAAACAATGAAAACTGAACTACTAAGATATTGGTGCTGAATACAGATGAAGAGTAGAACATAAGAGACATATGGAATCAGGATGAATCTCTGCCCTTAGTGACATAGGCCTATCTGGTAATGGATTTTGAGTATGCCCTTTGAGCACAGGAATTGATCCTTTTTTTTTTTTTTTTGAAGGGGAGCCCTTCTATCTGTTAAGAAAGTCTAGTTATTCTAAGGACTGTGACTTCCTGCACACGTGATTGTGTGAGATTGAAATCCCTGAGAAACCACCAGCTATTCATTTCAAGAACTCACACCCTCTTTTCCTCCTAACTCTTGGACTGCTCTAAGTGACACTCCAGGCAGTCCCCCCATATTTGCATAGAAAAAACTAAGAGTATTTCATTGTCCTTGTAAAAATTTAAATGACAGGCTCCTAAACAGGAAAATTTACTGGATTTCTTTTGCGTGCTAGAAGTTTCTTTTGGTTGGGGGACATTTTAAGCATTATTGTGATAGGTGTTATATAAACAACTTAAATGTTTTTATATTTCAGGCTATTATAGGAAGATAATGACGTTGTCGAGCTCATGTTTAAGAAAAAAACAACAGATCTTAAGATGATTTTTGTTGTTGTTGCTGTTAAAGATGAAAACTGTGAGTAGCCTTCCTGATGAATCCTCCTCTCAATTTGCTGTGTAGGCTGATAGCTTCAGACTTGATTACAAACGCCTGGATGAGATAACAAAGGCCCAAGAAGCATATGATGCATCGTATAAAAAGCATATGGTGATTTGTTTTTTTCTCTCTCTCTTCTAGAACGGTGGTGTTGAAGAACGTGTCAAAACAACACACTTTATTCAGAGAGCAGCTAAGTGAAGCTGTTGATTTACACCATATTCACACTTCCCAATGAAGTCACAACTCACAGGGCCATGAATAATGATTGGTTTTAAGCTATTTCCTGATGTTTATTTAAAAACATTTTTGGGTGAAAATTTAAAATAAGAGGTAATAACTGACATAAGTGCTTTGAAGTTTCGTAAGTGCTTTCTAAGCTTTGTCTTGATCTAGTCTCATGTAAATTCTTTGCTTGACTATATGATCCAATATTAAAAACATGATTTATAAAAAACCAAAAACAAAGAAAACAAAGAAAATTAAGTGCTATGAGTATGATTATCCCCATTTTAGGGAACTGAGACTTCAAGAGGTTAAATGGACCTCTTAAGGTCATAGGTTTAGAGTTGGAAGAGCCTTCTGAGGTCATCTAGTCTGGCTTCCTTCTTACAGAGATGAACTCAAAGAAGTGACTTGCACAAGGTCACATAAATGGTTGCAGCAGAACTGATATCTAAAACCAAGTCCTCTGACTTATCTAAGGTCACAACTCTAGCAAGAGTGCCAAGCAGGAACTGAACAGAGATTTTGCTCACTCCAAGTCCAGAAATTATCTGTTTATGTCACACTTTTGGGGAAAGGATGGGTATGGAAACAAGAGAGAATTAAGGAGGGAGAGGGAGAAGGAGAGAAGAGAGAGACTGAGAGAAAGAGAAAGAGAGAGACAGAGACTGAGAGAAACAGAAAGAGAGAGATAGAGATAGAACAAGAAAGGAAAGAAGAGAAGGGAAAGAAAAGGGAGAGGTGGGGAGACAGACAGAAGGAGAAACATAGGGAGGAGGAGAGGCAGAGGAAGAAGAAGAAAGTAAAAGAGAGAGAATGAGAGAGAAGGGAGAGAAAGAGAGAGAAAAAGAGAGGAGATAGAGAGACAGAGGAGACAGACAGAGAGAGACAGGAGACAGACAGAAAGACAGAGACAGAGAGAGACAGAGAAAGAATAACAAAGACATTTTACAAATGAAGGATTTTTGAGATGGGAGTAAGAGAGTTTTAGAAAGTAGAAGCCCTGCGTAGATGGCCTGATGTATTAACTAGTCCCACATGGGAGACATGGCTTGTCTCCACAGAGTCAACACATCTGGAATGAGTGGGAGTTGGAAGCATTGCAGTTTATGTTTCCTGCCTCCAGCAACTTTGGCCTGCCTCACTTTATCAAACCATATTCCCACACTCATTCAGAGCTGGTGTGATGATAATGTTCTCTACAATGATCCATGATCTCTCTTTCTCTAGAGAATAGGTCATAGGCAAAGCTCAAGATAGATACCGGGGTGGGAGAAGGTTGTTGGGGGGAGGGTTGAGGACCTTCTCGATGTCAAGGGACGAGATGTAGCTTGCTCACTCTTGTGCTGATTTAAGGAGGGTACTACATGGAAAGAATACCACTGTATGTAGTCATTTAACTGGTCTTAACTCAATTCTTGATTATTTGGGTCAGAATTGTGGATTGACTGTGGAAAAATAAATCTGAAGGAGAGGCAGCAGTGTGATGGAAAGAGTCCTCTATGTCTTCAATTATTTAAAACCTTATTCTGAGAGGGGTCCATTAGCTTCGTCCAACTGCCAAAGGGATCAGACACAACTGGGAATCAGAAGATTTGAGTTCTAGTCCTGTCTCTGTCACTAATAATTTGTGTGAACCTGGGTAAGTAACTTGAATGTTCTGTATCTCTAAAATGAGAGGGTCGATTCTGGTCATCTTTAAAGTCCCTAGTACCTTTGACCCCATGATTCTCAATTCCCAGCCTGTGCTCCTCTCCTTTAGTGCTTTCTTTCATTGTTAATAAGTTCAGGATACGTGGTTCATCACCCTTTTTTTTTGTCATGGACCCCTTTGGCTGTCTGATGAAAGCTATGGTCCCCTACTCAGAAGAATTTTTTAAAAATACTTAAAACAGGTTATAAAGGATTACAAAAGAAACCAATTATATTGAAATACAGTAATATTGATTAAAAAAACCCCTCAAGTTTATAGTCCCCTCCACCCCTTTCCATTTTAAAAACTCTTGGTTTAGGAAATACAAACCAATTTGAATACCAGCTGAAAGCAACTTAATTGTATAGGCCCATTTATTTTTAAAATCACACAACACAGTGAAATGAATTCTGGATTACACGTATTATAACCAAGGGTGTGCTGGTAAATGTTTAATAACTAACTGTGAAAAAAATGTACTCATGGCACATTTTTAAATTTAATCTGCCACATTCACATTGTCTACATCACTCCCTTAAATCTAGCCAATACACAAAACAATAAGTCAAGCCACGATGTGGAGCATTTGCCAATTTCTGAAGCTCAAATGCTCAAATAGAAAATTTAACAATTGGCTTTCATAAGCTGTTTAGAGCTGTCTCTGGCTTTTGTCTGACTATAAATTTTTTCTGTGACTATTTTGGAGAGACAGTGCTTTGTATTGAATTAAGGGACTTAAGTTGGACTCCCAACTATACCATCTGTGGGCTGTGTGACCACAGGCATAGCACTTAACCTTTATCCAGTCTCAACTTCTCCATCTGTAAAATGGGATACTAATACGTACATTACTCACCTTATAGAGTTCTTGTGAGTAGAATGCTTTGTAAACTATATGCTGATAAGAGCTTAAAGCTGCACTAAGACTTTTGGGACACCCAGTATTTACCCTGCATCTGATCCACTCCTGTTTCTATGTGGGCAGCTAGGTGGTGCGATGGATAGAGCTCTGGCCTTGGAGTCAGAAGGACCTGAGTTCAAATCCAGCCTGAGACACTTGACACTTACTAGCTGTGTGACCCTGGGCAAGTCACTTAACCCCGATTACCCTGCAAAAAAAAAAGAAAAGCATTCCTGTTTCCGTGTACATATTATCTCCCTCACTCTTTGAGGGCAGGGAGAGCTTTCAATTTTCCTTTGCGTCCCTAGCACTTAACGTCGTGCTTGGTACACGGTATGCCCTTAATAGATGTTTATTGATAGATTGTTGCCATTATCATCATAGGTAAAAAACAAAACAAAACGGAAGCTTCCTATATTTTAAAAGTTTCCATACCAAGCAAGTTAATTTATATCAGGGATCCCCTAGGAGGGGATGACAATGATGAACATTTACATAGCACTTTAAGGTTTAAAAGAGTTTTATCCTTACAACAACCCTAGGAGGTAAGTGCTATTATTATCTTCATTTTACAGATAAGAAAATGGAGAAGTGAAGTGACTTGCTCAGGGTCACACAGCCAGTAAATATCTGAGGCCAAATTTGAACTCAAGTCTTTCTGACTCCCACTCTAGCGTTATGAAGTTTACCCGGCCAACCGTCAAACTAGTTTTTACTGCCTTGTTTTCCGGCAGCTAGGTGGCGCCATAGTGCACAGAGTACTGGGCCGAGAGTCAGGCCGAGTTCTATCTGTTTCATGTGTATTTTACATTCCCTGAGAGATGCACACGCTATCTCTCACACTGCAGTAGAAGACTGTTCGCTAGCACGGTGCCTGGTTCATACCAGGCTGACGAGCGCTTGCTGATTGAACGGGGTGCTGTGCCAGCCTCCAGCCCTCTCACCTTGGTCTTCCGTTTGCTGTCATCCATAATCATTTTCCAATCGGAGCCGTTGTTACTGTATCCGATCTTGAATTTTTTCATGAACACCTTGTTATCGCGGTGCTTCCCTCCCTGAATGATGATGCCCTTCACAATCTTCTCTTCACCCAGGTCTATCTGGAGCCACTCATTTGTGTAGGAGTGAGGGGCAGAGGGCAGTGCCCAACCTGAGCGGCTGGTGACAAGGCGGGTGTTTTCAGGCATCCAGTTTCTGTCTCCTTGATTTGAGGCTGTGATTTGTGAGTCCGAAATGAGTCCAGACACCATCCCCAACATTCCGGAGCAAGGATAATCTGTGGAATAAAAGGGAATAATTAGGCAATGTCAAATGATTTTCTGTGTAACTCCACTGTCTGAAGAAACCATTAGCAGAAACCGCTACAGTTATCCCTTCCACATCGCTGGGCTTAAGAGTGTGGCACCCTTACCCGGGATCTGGAAAATCTGCATAAAATTTTTGGCCCTCCCATCACACCAGAGAGAAAGTCTGAATTTTTTCTTTTTCTTTTATGGGGTGTTTACAGTACTATACATGTATTTTTGCATTTCTGAGTTTCTAAACTTTGTCTATGTCCCCTCCTGGCCTTCCCATGTTGTCTTGCAGCTTCCACAAAGCTTTCCCCCCCACAATTCCCATTGAATTTCTTATGCTGACCAGCAATATGTCAAAACCTCAATGAGGAAAGTCGCGATGTGCAAGGGATAAGTGTAGAATGTTTTGCCTCAAATTGAAATCTAGTTTCCCACAAAGAACAAACTCCAATATTCCTTTCCGCTTTGATCCTTTCTTATTCACACACAAAGGCCTAAGGCACAAAGAGACAGTTTGAGCCCAGTTTGTCCATTAGCAGTTATTTTCTCTTAAACACCAGATCTCAAAGTGTGGTTTGGGGACTCCTAGGCATTTGCATGGATGATCAGTGCTGTTGGCCCAAATCAGGGCTTTAGTTACAGTGTTTAAAAGAGAAATAGTGTAAGGGAGAGATAGTTGGCCTTGGAATCAAGAAGACCTTGGGTTTAAATTTTGCCTCTGATATATACTGAGTGACAATGAACAAGACACACTCTCTCAGTGTCCCCGGCAATTCTTATAGGCTATCAATTAATCCAAATGTATTTATTAGCTACCTCCTGTATGTCAAGCTGGGACTGCTAGGAGGCGCCATAGTGCATAGTGCACCAGAGCTGGAGTGAGGAAGACTCATCTTCCTGAGTTCAAATCTGTCCTCAAGCACTTATAGCTGTGTGACCTTGGGCAAGTCACCTCACCCTGTTTGCCTCAGTTTCCTCATCTGTAAAATGAGCTGGAGGAGGAAATGGCAAACCACTCCAGTACCTCTGCCAAGAAAACCCCCAATGAGGTCACAAAGAACCAGACACAACTGAAATGACTGAACAACAACACAGGATGTCAGACACTGTGCTAAACCCTGAGGAGAGAAAGAAGGCAAAAAACTCTCCTTGCTCTCAAGGACCTCATGGTCTAATGAAAACCATTTTGTACCAACAAGATCTATACCAGATAAATCGGAGATAATCAATAGAGAGAAGGCAGTAGTAAGGAGGATCAGGAAAGGCTTTTCAGAGAAGATGGGATTTTAGCTGGGCTTTGAAGGAAGCCAGGGAAGACAGGAGGCAGAGATGAGGAGGGGGAGTATTCGAGGCAGGAGGATAGTCGGTGAACATGCTTCGAGTCTAGAGATGGATTATCTTGCGTAAGTGACAGTGAGGAGGTCCTAGGTGAGGAATGAGTTGGTGATCTGGACCAATGGAGGAAACTGATACACCAGGAAACCTCTCATTTCAAAGAGCACAAAGGACTAGATCTAAAAGAAAATGAGTGCATTATCCCCCTGTTGTTTCTTCCAAGGTGATATGGCTCATTCACTCACACCCTTGTTCAGTTTCTTATCACCTGACCCTTAGACTATTCTAATAATTTCCTAATTGGTTTCCTGGCTACCAGTCTTTTTCCTTTTCAAGTCGTCCTCTGCACAGATGCCAAAATAATCTGCCTAAGGTACTCGTTATTTCCTGGTTCCAAATACTTCAGAGCCTCCCCCTGCCCCCATTATTGAAAAGAGACCCCTCAATTTACAATTAGCCACCCCTACTTATCCAGTTATTTTCATATATCTAATAATGAAAATTAACATTTATATTGTGTCTGCTATGGGCCAGACACTGTGCTAAGCATTTTACAAATCTCATCTCATTTTATCCTCACAACGACCCTGGGAGGTAGGTGCTATTAATAACAATTGAGAAATCTGAGGCAAACAGAGATTAAATGACTTGCCCAGAGTGACAAGCTGTGACTTTTATCTGAGATTGGATTTGAACTCAGGTCTTCCTAACTCCAGGTCGATCATTCTATCCACTGTACCACCTTGCTGCTCTCCTTCACGTACTCTACAGTCTGTCCAAATCAACCTACTGCATGTTTATCCTTCATTCTTTTTTTTTTTTGCTAGGCAATGAAGTGACTTGCCGAGGGTCACACAGCTAGTAAGTGTCAAGTGTTTGGTGTGAGGCCACATTTGAACTCAGATCCTCCTGCGCCACCTGGCTGCCCCTCATCCTTCATTCTTGAAGAGGTCAATGACATCAGGAGGGGGATGCCTTGACTTGCAAATGAATTGGATTTAAGGGTGGCAGAGCTGCGCTACTCAAACTCAGCAAGCTACTCCCTGTCCCTATGTCCCTGTGTATTCATACAGGCCATCTCCCATGGCTTAAATACGTTTTCTGCCAGTATTTTTTCCCAAATTTTTATTTTCCATTAATACGCTACTTCTGTGGCACAATAAACCTGCTCTGATTATCTTATTCTCTCCTTTCTCAATTTATTCTGTATTTACTAATACATGATTATCTGTATGTTACCTGTATTATCCCCCTAATGGCATGTAAGCTTCTTAAGGGGAAGGATTGTTTTGGTTTTGTCTCTGTTATCTTAATGCAAAATCTCTATTCTAGGAGGCAGATGCTTAAGGGCTGCTTGAATTGATTCTGGTAAAAGTGAGAATGCTGAAGTGATCTGTGGAGCACATGAATGTTGGTGGGGGAAGAGATGGGTGTCCGTGTGGCTGATTCTATCTAGTTTGTTGTTGTTGTTCAGCCATTTTAGTCATGTCTGACTCTTGGTGATCCCATTTGGGGTTTTCTTGGCAAAGATACTGGAGTGGTTTGCCATTTCCTTCTCCAGCTCATTTCACGTGTGAGGAAACTGAGGCAAACAGGATTAAGTGACCCTGGCCAAATCACTCAATCCTGTTTGCTTCAGTTTCACAGGAGAAACAAATGAACAACAACAAAAATAAGTTATCTCCAAGCTTGGATAATCCTCTTGTCAATATGGCACATACTTTATCTTCTCTGACACTTTAGCTTCCCTTTCCAACTACCAAATTTATGTGAACTCAACAAACATTTCTGAAACACTTAACCATATTGCAAGGCACTGTTCTAGGCACATAAAAATGAAAGAAGATGCAGTCCCTGCCTTCATGGATCTTCAACTTTATAAGGAAGAGGGGAATCTATGAGGGTGATAAAGTGTGATCCAATTTCCGTTCTTGGAATCAGATTCTGCAGGTCTATCAGGCTTGAAACCTTAGCATCATCTTTGGCTCCTGATTCCTCCTCCATTCCTTATATTTGTTTTTTCATCATCTTGTCTTTTCTTCCTTCAAGTCTCAGTTTCTCCATGAAACCTTTTCCAATGACTCTAGCCCACACTGATCTTTCACTTCTCTCCTTTCCATTTCACTTAGCACCATATTATATTGATTAGGACGTTTTTCTCAAATTGGTTTCTGTGTATATGAGTATTGCCTCCTTAGTTAGAATGTAAGCTCCTTAAAGGACCATGTCTTTACGCTTTTTGTGAATCTGTTGACACCTACTACAAGAGTGGACAAAGTAGATGCTTAATAAATATTGATTGATCCATTGAAAATTCTCTCAAAATTAGAACTGCTATATGATCTTTTTTGGTCGTCTCTACCTGGGAAAGGTAATAAGTGACTTTCCGCATCTATAAAATGGGAAAACAGTACTTACCCTGCCTACCTCATAGAGTTGTTGAGATTAAAAGGGTTTATAAAGCTTAAAGCACTATGCAAATATGAGTTATGATTTTAAAAAAATAGAATCACAATTCTTTTTATATCAATTTTAAATTTTCTTAGAAATTATCAACAAAACCAAAATTATGATCTTTTTTTCTAAGTGAATTGCATGCATTCAAAATGCATCCTGGTTACCAGATAGCCAAGAATGCTTAGATATTATCAGAATTAGTTACAATTAAATTCAAGTACAACCAAAGACATGTGCCGTTTCCTCAGTTGAAACCTTATTTTAAGATTTAATTTTCTTTATAATTTAGTAATAAATATTTGTTCCTTCAGAGTAGGATTTGGAACCCCAAGACTTAAACCTGCTGACTATTTAAATAAATAAATGCATACGTAAGTAAATGAATGAATGAATGAATGAATAATAAATTGGCATACATTCATCACCAAATGAACATGAAACAGCAGTGTTAAAAATAGAAGTTACATTTTTGGCCAATGTGGTCACACCTGCTTGACTCAAAATCAGCCTTCTACAATGGCAATGTTTAGCTGGTAATGGGGATCAGATGTTGCCATTTGGAGGAAAAAAATGTAATTAACTTGAATGTTGTAAGGAGAGCAGAGCTTCAACCAGACTTATGCCCTTTCACTAATGCAGTTTACATGTCCACATAGCTAATGGTGCAGAGCCTCCACTCAGACCACAGATTCATAGCTTACAGACAAGCTGTTATCAATTTTGCTTCTGTGTCTCCTTCCAATAACAACTAAGAGCCCCCTGAAGCTATCTCTTTAACAAAAAAAATTTGGATCATTTTTGTACTGTGACTGTGAGCAAATTTACACTTACAATTCAAGATTGGGACCCAGATGAACGTATACTTTGATAATTTGAAGAATCATCCCACAAAGGAATGGCTCCCAATTCAAATTCACCTTGTAAAGTATACAAATGATCTTGGGATTAACATCATAACTTATTACTTGGCTCTGTCCCCACCCCAACTGTGTGAGAGAGGTGGTGAAGACATTCCTTCATCTAAGAGATGAAGAAACTGAAAACGAGAGAGGTTGCAGGATCTTATGTTAAGAGTTGGAAGGCGCACTGGACATCCTTGAATTTTATGGATTTGGAAGCTGAGACTCAGAGAGATTGATCCCTTCATTCACAATCATGCAGCCAATATGGACTGAAGCTGAGACTTGAA